TTGTGAAACGGGGCCCAGGTCTTCATTCCATTGCAAAATGGCATTCCTAGTACAGTGAGCAGAGTTCGTAATTTTCTCAGCACGGCGGACAGCAGGTCATTCGTGCAGGTTACAGATACCGACTGAACGTTAGACGACAGGTTACCACACATTGGAAATGTGTTGTTCAAGGAAGTAAGGGCAGCTGCAGTACCATGGGCGATCATATCACTTCCACCAGCGTCCCCCCGTTCACACCCGTCCCCCTGTTGAAAACGCCGAGCATGTTCGTCTCCTTGGTCGTTCCCGACCAAGACCACGACTATAGAGACACTGACCAGCGTCTACAGAGTCTGAAGTAGACTAAGGCTTAGTCTCTGAATATATATAATTTTGATAAGAACAAACAAGCCCACTTAAATTGTAAAGGAGCCCTAGGGAGACCGAGACTTGCTTCGTTTAGGGCTTTAGCACTACAGGGAAGGCTAGGCTGTAGGGAAAATAATGTGGTTCAGGGACTGTGAGACAGACTAAGTCTGAAGCAGCAGCTTGTGACCGGGAGAAGGACAGCCATGCAGTTCCTTGACGCAGCAGGGCACTTGATTAAGCTTCAGTAAGTTCCTGAATCCCATTACCTGAGACAGTATTATCAAAATATGATAGTAATTAATAAAGACGTTAGAACGGACTTGGATTAGTCAATTGTATACAATAGGTAGTTCCATGTTTAACCTTGTATGAAGAATAGCCACTGGAGTGGAAATTTGTTTTGAAAAGAGTGTAAGAGTTTACAGGGATGTATAGGCAAATTGGGAACATGCCTTCGGTGGCTGTCTAATAAACTCATGGTTTATTCACTGGGGTCTTGTGTTGTGTGTGGGTTGGTAGTGTACTGCTTGCCAAGCGATCTGATTCCTAATATACTCGGCTTTAAATAAACTTATAATCAGGTCGGAACTGAAATCGAATCTGCTTCAAGCGGTGATTTTCTCATTGGTGTAGAATGGATTTTGTCGCTTCTATTTGCGGACTGGTGTATGTTATGATCACTCAGTACATGACACCGACATCCGTCGGTGCGGGTTGGCCATATGCATTCATCTTGACAGCAAGGGAATTATAAATATGGCGTATATTTGTGTGTGAAGTCCGTCTTGCTTAACGTATTGCCGAGCACTATAGCGCTGACAGTGTCAAACATCAGTGTTTATTGCAAGAACATGAGACCAGATTGATGACTAACCATGTAATTTGAAACGATTCTAATATCTACAGTCATTTTGACTTAAATTTCGGTAGCAGATTTTGTCAAATCATACATTCTCGTCGTCTCCGACTTGAATCAGGGATACTCTGCTTGAATGTAGTGACCTTAATGCGCCCAAATATGAAAGATTTATATCTCCAACATCAGCTGCTCTTGTGGCCATAACTATGAAGACTGCTCATTATTTCTTTTAATGAACTCTTTACAACGATATACGTCAAATTATGTATTTTTATACTAAAGGGTTTGACCTAAAATCAGTTTTGTTTCAAACCTGTTCCTCAATAGTAAACAAAGAACTTTTAATTTCAGTGCACTCGTTTATAAATTTAACAGGCAGATTTGATCCAAAATAATTCTTTTTGACATATACTGTTTAACAATGATTGGCGTCTTTTATCGATTTTGCAACATTTATAATTATATCATTCACATAGTACATTCATCATGACATGTCTACTCTTCCTACCATTGTATCCCGGAGCGGTATTCATATAAGCTTATGCTTGTCTACAATCCGGTTCCTTTCATTGGGAATAAATATGTTTAAATCACCCCTGGCTCTAGAATTTCCTCTGGCCACAACCACATTGTTAATATTTATGAGTAGTATCAGAAACCATATAAAAAGATGAGACAATTATATGGTCTCTGGTAGTATAAACCTGGCACACATTCTACACGACTTGTATAATGGCGGATTATTCAGGTTTTCGCCGATTTCCATTTTACCTGAGCGTGGCACTTCTGTATATAATTTACTCTTTGGGAGTGACAGGCGTCAGCTGCTATCCCATAATGCATCAGAGACACAGGCAGTGACATGTGTTACATATAACCACTTTCAACATGCCATTGTGTATTCATAGATATCTCCCGTTGGTGGAGATTGGCTCGCTTAGATTACTGATGGCTGCCCTAAATATGGACAAAAAGTAAAACCCCAAGAATAATAAATGCCAGTATACCATCACAACTGTTTGCCAGCAACGGGTTTCAGTGCAGAGACGGTACAGGAGTGGTAACATCTTTAGAAGAAGATTGTGCTACCCGCTGGCAAGGCGATGCGTTAATGGTCCAAGAGGACCCTACCAGTTGACTACCTGCCTGAAGACCTGCCTTGCCGATCTGATGATCTACCAGACATACGGTTGTGTGGACCCTACCAGTTGACTACCTGCCTGAAGACCTGTCTTGCCGATCTGATGATCTACCAGACATACGGTTGTGTGGACCCTACCAGTTGACTACCTGCCTGAAGACCTGTCTTGCCGAGCTGATGATCTACCAGACATACGGTTGTGTCGACCCTACCAGTTGACTACCTGCCTGAAGACCTGTCTTGCCGATCTGATGATCTACCAGACATACGGTTGTGTGGACCCTACCAGTTGACTACCTGCCTGAAGACCTGCCTTGCCGATCTGATGATCTACCAGACACACTGTTGTGTGGACCCTGCCAGTTGACTACCTGCCTGAAGACCTGCCTTGCCGATCTGATGATCTACCAGACATACGGTTGTGTGGACCCTACCAGTTGACTACCTGCCTGAAGACCTGCCTTGCCGATCTGATGATCTACCAGACATACGGTTGTGTGGACCCTACCAGTTGACTACCTGCCTGAAGACCTGCCTTGCCGATCTGATGATCTACCAGACATACGGTTGTGTGGACCCTACCAGTTGACTACCTGCCTGAAGACCTGCCTTGCCGATCTGATGATCTACCAGACATACGGTTGTGTGGACCCTACCAGTTGACTACCTGCCTGAAGACCTGCCTTGCCGATCTGATGATCTACCAGACATACGGTTGTGTGGACCCTACCAGTTGACTACCTGCCTGAAGACCTGCCTTGCCGATCTGATGATCTACCAGACATACGGTTGTGTGGACCCTACCAGTTGACTACCTGCCTGAAGACCTGCCTTGCCGATCTGATGATCTACCAGACATACGGTTGTGTGGACCCTACCAGTTGACCACCTGCCTGAAGACCTGCCTTGCCGATCTGATGATCTACCAGACATACGGTTGTGTGGACCCTACCAGTTGACCACCTGCCTGAAGACCTGCCTTGCCGATCTGATGATCTACCAGACATACGGTTGTGTGGACCCTACCAGTTGACCACCTGCCTGAAGACCTGCCTTGCCGATCTGATGATCTACCAGACATACGGTTGTGTGGACCCTACCAGTTGACCACCTGCCTGAAGACCTGCCTTGCCGATCTCATGATCTACCAGACATACGGTTGTGTGGACCCTACCAGTTGACTACCTGCCTGAAGACCTGCCTTGCCGATCTGATGATCTACCAGGCATACGGTTGTGTGGACCCTACCAGTTGACTACCTGCCTGGAGACCTGCCTTGCCGATCTGATGGTCTACCAGACATACGGTTGTGTGGACCCTACCAGTTGACTACCTGCCTGAAGACCTGCCTTGCCGATCTGATGGTCTACCAGACACACGGTTGTGTGTCATCACTGATACTCAGTGGCATGTGTTGGTGGACGATTGAGACTGGTTGTTAACTGGTCTTGTTTAGCATTTCAATGGCTTGGCACAAGCTCATCATGGCGGTGACACCCAGTCATGCTTTTTACCTACTGACAGCATTCATCAAGTGGATACTCGAGTGTTTAACCCTGCCCTGTGCACAGAGAACATCGTTTCGAAACAAGCATATGAATTCAGTGAAAAGTTCGGAGTACATGTTTGATGTGTGATATGATCTGCATGTATGTGTGATGTGATCTGCATGTATGTGTGGTGTGATCTACATGTATGTGTAATGTGATCTGCATGTATGTGTAATGTGATCTGCATTTATGTGTAATGTGATCTGCATGCATGTGTGATGTGATCTGCATGTATGTGTAATGTGATCTGCATGAATGTGTAATGTGATCTGCATGTATGTGTAATGTGATCTGCATGTATGTGTAATGTGATCTGCATGTATGATCTGTAATGTGATCTGCATGTATGTGTGATGTGATCTGCATGTATGTGTAATGTGATCTGCATGTATGATCTGTAATGTGATCTGCATGTATGTGTAATGTGATCTGCATGTATGTGTAATGTGATCTGCACGTATGTGTAATGTGATTTGCATGTATGTGTAATGTGATCTGCATGTATGATGTGTAATGTAATCTGCATGTGTGATGTATGTGATCTGCATGGATGTCTAACATGATCTGCATGTATGTGTAATGTGATCTGCATGTGTGATGTGTGATCTGCATGCATGTGTAACATGATCTGCTTGAGTAATGTGTAATATGATCTGCATATGTAATGTGATCTGCTTGTGTGATGTGTAATGTGATCCGCTAGTGTGATGTGTAATATCAGTTGCATGTGTGATGTGATCTGCATGTATGTGTAATGTGATCTGCATGTGTGATGTGATCTGCACCAATGTGTAACATGATCTGCATGTATGTGTAATGTGATCTGCATGTGTAATGTGATCTGCTTCTATGATGTGTAAAGTGATCTGCATCTATTATGTGTAATGTGATCTGCATGTGTGATGTGACCTGCATGTGTGATGTGTAATGTGATATGCATGTGTAATATGATCGGCATGTATGATGTGTAATGTGATCTACATGTATGATGTGTAATGTGATCTGCACGTATGATGTGTAATGTGATCTGCACGTATGATGTGTAATGTGATCTGCAAATGTTATGTGATCTTCAACCATGACACAAGACAAACACAGACAGTGAGAAATTGTTTAACATATTTATTAGCCACTGGCTCTAGTATTGTGGGTGTGGCTGTTACACCTCACGTTGCTAAAGGGACTAGCACAGTATAGTACAGGAAGTCTACAGTTAAAGCAGCGTCTTGGTAATGGCAATACATCATATTGCATCAAATAAATATATCTCAGTACATTAGGACTCAAGCAGGACTAATGATGAGTTCTCACGTCGTAAGCAGAAACACTGCCATTGTTCATTTTTATGCTGAATTGTATTTTAATCCAAACCCTAAAATTGAATCGGTCCAGAACCTATGTCCCAGCACCTTGGATCATCCAATTCTGGGTTAAAATTCTAACAAAAATGGTTTACCATCCATGGTAAGATTGCATATTGCACTGTAACTATGGTAACTCATGTTAATGGCATAATTCAAAGTGAGTATGCAATATGAGGAAGTAACATATGGCACACATGAACAAATACAAATATGATAATTAATACAAATAGCTATACAAGTTTATTACAGACACAGATGAAATACAATACAAATATTGCAGTACAAATATCAAGGATGCACATCTCTGGGAACATAACAGATCTAGTGAACAGACCATCAAACACAACACCATCCTCTGTAGTCCAGGCTATTATAACTCCATTCCATCTTAACTGCCTTGGGTACTTAACAAAATGGAATGGGGTAGTAATACCATAGATTATTGAGACTGGCCTGAAACAGAACCTTTTTAACATCAAACAACAGTTTACAATATGTAATCAAACAAATAAGTCAGTCAATAGTAAACAAAACATCTGTGTTTGCTCATCAACTGATGCTCGGGCAGTTCCACATACATCCGTAGGGTGTATATTTCAAGTTTTTAACATCTCTGTTCTGCATATTCCCTGTTTGCTAAAATGATGGGATCATATTTCTGGCGTTAACAACCTCACTTGATCGTATATGCACATCTTCAGATGTGTTTTACTTCACAATACTGGAAAATTATACATTAAAACACCACAAATGTACACCAAAAATTATTTAGAAGATTTCCGGAAGAGTCTGCTATGCCTTAATTCTACCACAGAATGAACAATTTCAGTAAATACACCTACAAAAAATATATGACATTAACTGCTCAGGGAGCTAAAGAGATTTGCAGAAACACATACTGCAACCGTTGAATACCATCTTGACAATCACAGAATAAACTACATATGTACAACCTGGCTGGATCCAACAACTTCAGTAGATCATCAACAGCTGGCTCAATATATCTCTGATATCTCAACAACAGGTCTGTGATATGCTGGTCTCCTAGTTTACAGCAACAAGGAATATACGTACACAAGGCAACAACTGCGCTTCAGTCTGCAATAAGTCATTACTCTGCAAAATGTCCTAAATGGTTTATTGTATACAGTTAACATAAAAATCATTTTATCATCTTATGGTTCGTGAAAACGTTTTTCAGAGTTTCATGTTTATTTTTACCAATTCTTATTTTCCTGAAAGATCATGTCTAAAAGAGAGTAAATCAGTATGACCATATTTTGGTAGAGATGGATATCTGATAAGCCAACAGATCTTCCTACCGTATTGTCCAGCAGTAAGTTGAGTGCACCAGACCAGCAGTATCGACTGTGGACAATATGGCTGTACAGCATTATGCTTTGTTTCACAAAACCGGACAAGAACTCAACGGCACGAAGTGAATATGAAACAGTATAGAGGAATAATTTACAAAACTATTTTATTTGCTAGGATAATGTCAAGTGTAAATTGAAACTTTGCTGGAATCTGACTGTGTCTCTCTTGTCTGCTAAGAGCTGTGCAACCCATTCAATGCATCAACATAATTTACAACTACAACGAAAGAAATGAGTCAACTGATGCTTAAAAGGATGTGTCAAACATTTGTGCTTTTGTCTGTTTCAGTTAATAAAAAAGAATTATGGCATAAAATTGTTGTGGTTTCAATAAAACCTCTTGCACCATTATCTAGTGTAATTTCTCATACCTTAGCACTCACCCTGAAATCACAGTGCCAGTCATCAATACTCAGTGCCCAATCCTAACTCATAGGGCCTATTTGTAATTCTTAGTGCCTCAAATCTAGGTGTCCACCTTCAATAGCTAAGATCTTTCTGTCATTGAACTACAAATCCTGTTACTAGAAGAGGTATAAGGCTGCCTGATTGATTCTCAAACAAGCTATCTGATGCCACTGGCAAAGGATGTTAAACCTAGGCAATGGTTCATCATTGTACAAAGAATATTAAACCTGAGCACTGGATTATTGTACGAGGGATGTTAAACCCAGGCGATGGCTCACTGTACAAGGGATGTTAAACCCAGGCAATGGCTCACTGTACAAAGGCTGTTAAACCTGGCCACTGGCTTATCAGTGTACTAAGTGAGTGAGTTTTGTTTTACGCTGCTCTCAGCAATTTTCCAGCTATATGGCAGCGGTCTGTAAATAATCGAGTCTGGACCACACAATCCAGTGATCAACAGCATGAGCATCGATCTGCACAATTGGGATACGATGACACATGTCAACCAAGTCGATCAGCCTGACCACCCGATCCCGGAGTATACAAAGAATAGCAAATCCTGGCACCGGCTCATCATTATACAAAGGATGTTAAACCTAGGCACCGGCCAATCATTGCACAAAGGATATTAAACCTGGGCACTGGCTCATCATTGTACAAAGGGTGTTAAACCTAGGCACTGGCCAATCATTGCACAAAGGGTGTTAAACCTGGGCACTGGATTAATGTACAAGGGATGTTAAACCTGAGCATTGGCAATTATTGTACAAAGGATATTAAACCTTGCCACTGGCTCATCATTGCACAAAGTATGTTAAACCTGAGCATTGGCAATTATTGTACAAAAGGATTTAAACCTTGCCACTGGATCATCATTATACAAAGGATGTTAAACCTAGGCACTGGCTCATCATTGTACAAATGGTGTGAAACCTATGTTGGTCCACCAACAATCTGCTGAGCTATGTAACAAAACCACCAACAATTCCTTCATGTCTAGTGGGTGGCAGTGGTCCTGATGCATGAGTGAGTGAGTGGGTGGGTGAGGTTTGACACATCCAGCTGCTGAGGTAGTACAGAGAAACTGGCAGGGAATAAATAAACTATGACATTGAACAGATGAGAGCGACAATGAGGTGAGATCTCTCAAGGCAAGCTGTTGTAATCTAGCACATACTGGACAGCAAACTGAACTAAAAACAGAGAAAATAACTGAGGGATCAAATAAGTGTTTTCAGATTTTAAAGCAGGTGCTTTAATCTGCCACCAGCACACTACCCCTTGATAAGGTGACATGTTTTAGAAGTGACACACGTCATCCGTCATCGTGACCTATGTCACACTACACAAACTGCAGATTGGACTACAAATAGCTCTGTTTCTTCACAACAGCAAACATGATATACAAGATATTTTTGCTGCAGCCATTCAGTTGATGCTAGTGAGTCAGACATTTCTTTCAGGATATGAATTCCAAAGGAAAGGAAACAGTCTAAAGTCCCTTAAAAATTATGTACACCTTTCATGAGGTATCTTGAAAGTAAAAAACGATAAATGAAAATATCTTCTGTGGCAAATGATAAAATGATGAAACTTCGGATCTACGGCCAGCATTAGGAGATGAACATCGCAGGTCACTTCACCAGTACTTAGCTTCGGTGAAGTCGTGCTAGAGTCTATAAAACTTATCTTCAGTACTTTAACACATTTTCTGGCATCTTTGAAAGGCTGATGCTTTAAAACATACCAAAAGAAAATGTACAAGATGTTCACTTCGCAAATATATATATAAACTGAGAAAAAACCCATCATACTCCTCATGTGTGATTTTTTATATATCTTACCATCTTATTCCACAAGTAGGATATTGTATATATCGTACCAGACTTATTCAACATGTGTCAAATTATATATCTTAACACTTGTTCCGCGCATGTGAGATATTGTGTATATTGTACCCGACTTATTCCACTTGCGAAATTATATATCTTAACACTTATTCCACATGTGAGATATGGTTCACTACCTGACTATGTTCAGATCCCGACTGGCTTCAAGAGGAGGGAGGACATTGACAGAGAGGTAACAAAAGAATAACACTGTAAAAAATAAAGGAAACAAACACATCCATACTCAACAAACATGAAAAATGCAAATTATTTGTTACAGAAACAAATATTGACTTTATCTATATGCCTGAGAGTGGTCACAAACAGATCACATAGTGCAGTGACGTCGTAAACAAGTCATACATTGTCTACTGCTCACAGGACATTAAGGACCTTGCAGGACTTCAAGAGGACAATACCAGACCCTGTGTGCCCCCTGCCCCCCCTAGGACCTTGCAGGAACCCGCTGAGGACCGAGGGCAATGTTCTTGTATCACAACAGACAGATACAGGTAACATTCTCTTGGTCATGCTCAAACCCATCGGGAGTTACATCTTTAATCATACACACTCAATGATTTGTATTGATTATTAATGTGATTATTTATGACAATGTTAATTAATACAAATTCATCTAACAGTTTTTAAAGTGAAATATTTCCTTCTCTTAAGTTATCCTTAACTTTCTGTGAGCAGCATACAGAACATAAGCATGAACATTGAAATGGGAAATATTACAATGAAAGACTTGTAACATTAACACAGCTACACTCTCATAGACGACTTGCGCTGTATCAGCTTCCAAAGCCAGTTGTCTCAGTCATCCTCATTGGATGATACCAGAACTGTGTCCAATCAGAGCCTGGCTTACAACACCTACACAGCGAGAGATCAGTTTCAGCACCATAATGTCACTTTCAACACATTCTCACTGGTGGCCACATATCACCATGGCAACCTTCCGTTTAACCGTCATGTACATCAGTATGAATATGATTTCTCCACACTTCATGTCGGTCAAAAGACTGAACTGATGCAATGTCAGATATTCCTAAGAAAATGCCATCAGGTAACTTTAAACGTGATATTCAGGCACTGCGCTCCACACGTAATGGAAACATTTCAGTCGACTGTTCTTATTGAAGGCTGTGTCTACTTTCGACTGTAGTTCACTGCCCAAGGGATGTCTCCCCCGTCGTGGCCCGGTAGGGACTGAAAGGAACAATAAAACAAAAATAAAACAACAGAAGGATATAAAGTGTTGATCTGTGCTGATCACATCAAAACTCATCAGTCACCAGGCAATCACTCATCTCACAATAAGAAATATGACATATTACACCTGGATGCAGTCTTCTTGAACAATCCTAGTAGCAGCTTTACCACACAAAATACAACCATCCTGGACAACCCAAGCTGCGCACTCCTGAATACCCTCACCTGCAGTCCTCCTGAACAACCTCAGCTGCACCTACACCACACAAGATGCAACCCTAATGAAAAATCGTAGCTGTACCTACACATCACTAGATGCATGCCTCATGAATGGCATTAGCTGCACTTACACTTCACTGAATTGCAACCATCATGCATCCCTCCTTGACAACCTTAGCTGTACCTACACCAGACCTGGATGCATCCCTCCTTGACAACCTCAGCTGCACCTACACCACACCTAGATGTAGCCCTCCTTGACAACCTTAGCTGTACCTACATCAGACCTGGATGCAGCCCTCCAGGACAACCCTTGCTGCACCTACACCAGACCTAGATGCCACCCTCCTTGACAACCCTTACTGTACCAGACCTGGATGCAGCCCTCCTTGACAACCCTAGCTGCACCTACACCAGACATAGATACAAACCTCCTTGACAACCCTAGCTGCACCTACACCAGCCCTAGATGTAGCCCTCCAGGACAACTTAGCTGTACCTACACAACACCTAGATGTAGCCCTCCAGGACAACCTTAGCTGTACCTACATCAGGCCTGGATGCAGCCCTCCAGGGCAACCTTAGCTGTACGTAAATCAAACCTTGATGCAGCCCTCCAGGACAACCCTATCTACACCTACACTAAACCTAAATACAGCCCTCCTTGACACACCGAGCTGCACCTACACCAGAACTAGATACTGCCCTACAGGACAACTCTAGCTGCACTTACACCAGACCTAGATACAACCCTCCTTGACAACCCCAGCTGCACCTACACCACACCTGGATACAGCCCTCCTTGACAACCCTAGCTGCACCTAAACCAGACCTAGATACAGCCCCACAGGACAACCCTAGCTGCACCTACACCAGACCTAGACGCTGTCCTCCTTCACAACCCTAGCTGCACCTACACCAGACCTAGATACAGCCCCACAGGACAACCCTAGCTGCACCTACACCAGACCTAGATACAGCCCCACAGGACAACCCTAGCTGCACCTACACCAGACCTAGATACCACCCTCTTTGACAACCCTTGCTGTACCTACACCAGACCTAGATACCGCTCTCCTTGACAACCCTAGCTGCACCTACACCAGACCTAGATACCGCTCTCCTTGACATCCCTTGCTGCACCTACACCAGACCTAGATACCGCTCTCCTTGACAACCCTAGCTGCACCTACACCAGACCTAGATGCCACCCTCCTTGACAGCTGCACCTACACCAGACCTAGATACAGCCCCACAGGACAACCCTAGCTGCACCTACACCAGACCTAGATGCCACCCTCCTTGACAGCTGCACCTACACCAGACCTAGATACCGCTCTCCTTGACAACCCTAGCTGCACCTACACCAGACCTAGATACAACCCTCCTTGACAACCCTAGCTACACCTACACCAGACCTAGATACAACCCTCCTTGACAGCTGCACCTACACCAGACCTAGATACCGCTCTCCTTGACAACCCTAGCTGCACCCACACCATACCTAGATACCACCCTCCTTTACAACCCTAGCTGCACCTACACCAGACCAGGAAGCTGCCCTCCTTGACAACCCTAGCTGTACCAACACCAGATCTAGATGTAGCCGTCCCTGACAACCTTAGCTGTACCTACACCAGACCTGGATACAGCTCTCCAGTACTACCCTAGCTGCACCTACACCAGACCTAGATGTAGCCCTCCTTGACAACCCTAGCTGTACCCTAGGGAACTCAAAATACAGATAAAGTCCCAGAACCATCATGAACCTAAAATCAAGATGAAGACCAAGGAAGTGATACTTCAGCAATGTGTAAAGATTGATTTGACTGATGGAGCAGTTGTGGTCACTGCATTCTCTGTGTGTTCCTTTGTTGCCACAAATGGACTATCAACCCTGTGACATAGTTTCTCAAGCTCCTTCTCAGGTTGTGACACCTTTGTTATTGTCCCAGTAGGATTGCTTTAATCAGTGTGCATGAGGTCATAACAAAAATCTTGGAGAGACCTGTATCTTTTTGTAAATGTCTTTGAGAATGTCCTTACAGTAAACTGGCAAAATGTTACAACTGTCTATTTCTCAGATGTGTTCTTAATTTGTCAGACTGATTTGAGATTCCATACATTCTCACGAAACTGATAACATGATGGTTAAAATTGACAGCCAAAAAATTAGGTGTCGGAAAAATAGTCATTACATGGTTGTAATCATAATGGTCAGTCTCTTGCAAGTATAACTTGTTGCATGCAAACTGACTAGCTGTGTAAGGTGTACACCACTAGTTATCTCCACTGGGCATCTGCCTCACAGTATTTTAGAGAGTTTCCTCCCTGCATCTTCATCTTCCCGACACTTAAGCGAGTTACTGCCTGCACCTTTATTTTGCCCTGTAGTTATCTCCACTGGGCACTCCATCTGCCTCACAGTTATCTCCCCTACACCCTGTACATCCATTAGGATGACAGCCAAATAGTTTCCTCCCCTAGCATCTTCATCTTCCCGACACTCCCAGGCAGTTATCTCCCCTGCATGTGGCGTTGAGATTGACATCAAATGATCGAGGAAAAAATACCAGCCTGTGAGTTATCTCCCCTGCATATGTCTCTACATCAATATCCATATTATCTCCCCTGCACCTTCCTATACATCTCCCCTGCACCTTCCTCCACATAACCGGTTATCTCCCCTGCACACAACAGGATGAGGTTGCAGGTCCCATCATCATGACAGTGCTGCTGTTTTTCTCACACCAGATGTCAGAATAGCTTCTAACTGCGTCCAGCTTTTATCATCTCACATATCAGAGCTTCCTGAGTTACATGATGTCGTACAAAACCACTTCATGAGGGGCTGTATGTGTATGTTTACCAACAGGGGCTGCATGCTGGGATATGTATATCTTGATTGCAGTACTTACGAACACTGTTTCATTTGTCGAAGCTTTTCTCACTACTTTATGAAAGAAAGCAAAAATGTAATTAAGTCCTTTTAATTTTTACACTTTAATCTCATTTAGTAATACCATGCATAATCATTCCATTTATTAAACAAATTTTTCAGTAAAAATTAAATCCATTATGATATCCGTTATCATATATTGTCTAACTTGCGCACAGAAATTGATCAGATCTGAGTTTTGACATCTTTATGATTGAAAACATTATTTATATTCTGTCAACATAATTTATGAAATGTTTAAAATGAAAATTCCCATCATGCAATGTATCCTAATCTTAAAAAAGAACTTAATAAGTAACCTGTTACAAATGAGTTTTACAATCAAGTCATTCTGCATGCCATCTTGCACGAACAATAACTGCTTCAACAAACACTGCTTCAACTTAGGAGTAATTAAGTCATGCAGTATCGGAACGAACACAGACACTGAACACATATTTCTCTAATAATGACATATATTTAATTACAACACTTCCCCTGAGGGAGTCTCTGGTTTGCTGCTGAATTGACCTTGACCTTTACATTCAGTGACTGTTACATATACCGTGAACATTTGGGGGCAGTTTCGTACAACAATCCCATCAAGTCAAGGTAGGGGAATACATACAGTCTTCACTGTTGGTGGAAATTTTGCCTACTCTTTAACAATAAGGGTAACCAATCGCCTACTGTTGACTGTTGGTTGATGTCATGAGGACCCATGTGGTTACATTGCGATAACAGCCAGGTGAACCAGCACTTTATAGCATGATAATCGAGTCTGGACCAGATAATTGAGTGATCAACATCATGAGCATCGATCTATGCAATTAGGATACAACGACATATGTCAACCAAGTCAGCGAGCCTGAACACCCGATCCTGTTAGTCGCCTCTTACAACAAGCATTGGTCGCTGAAAACCAAATTCTAACCTGGATCTAACGGGTTTCATAGCATGAACAGTCCGAGGAATCTGTAGGTGATGAACTGCCAGGGGTACCAATGATTTGTACCATAAATAGCTAGGGGAACCACAGACTGACAGAACTGATAGCTACATTGGTTTACAGATGGAAGAACCAGGTAGACCAGAGGTTGATACAAAGAGTTCCTGGTGAACCAGTGGACGATAGCATGAACAGCCAGATGACCCTGTGCAACCACTAAAATTTCTTTACTGATCATACATCATAACAACATGACCGATGGTAAGATTTCATAAATGTCTAACCTCTAGGAAGAGACCTTTCAACTTACAATCTTACCTGTCAATGTTTTATAATCAAAAGAGATTGGAAAGGATGAAACCCTTTAATCTCACTGACTATCCTCAGCAGGGATTTTTTAGGTTTCTTTTTTTCTCAAAACTCATGCAGAATATGCCTAAAGAAATGGCTTAATATGGTTTTATCATTACACTTTCTGTTTTGCCCACTGACCATGTGGTTTTTGAAAAGACATATTCATCAACATGTACTGAGATATTAAGAAGTCTGACATTCAGAATATACAGTGTACTCTGAATCTGGGCAATGAGCACACCCACTTCTAGTTCAATGTCTTGTTCAGGTTTTTACCTCCCTGACCCAGGATAACTAAACTGTCGGTTCTGGTCTTGATTTATTCTCATCCAATAAAGTGCTTGAGGTGGAATTGTACTCCTCATATATAAGTAACACATAAATCTGTCCTGTCATTCCACACACCCATGTCAACACAAAGACACATACCCCACACCTGCACAAACCAGTTCCACAAAGTCATACTCAGAGAAGGCACTGAAAGTATGTCATGGTTTATGTTCAAAAATCTAGATAAGCTATAGACCATTATCAGGAATCCAGGCTAAATAGACTTGTGTGACCTCCATCAGTTACATATGTGCATGTGGTACTTAAAAGCTCATATATTCCTGATATATTAGGTTGTCATAAAATGATCAGGTCGTGACCAGACAATCCAGTGATTGATGTTATGAAGAACAATCCAGCCTGTCAAGGTATGATGACATACAATCAACACCGTGATTAGCCAGGTATATCAAGTCATCTTTCAAGATGACAGTGTATGAAATATGGCCCGTCCGACCGCCCGAGACGGGCTAGATTTCTGATGGACGGTCAAAATTTACAGCAAGCCAGCCCGACTATATGAAATATGGACCGCCCGAGACCGGCTAGATTTCTGACGGACGGTCAAATTTACAGCAAGCCAGCCCGATGGTATGAAATATGGCCTGTCCGACCGCCCGAGACGGGCTAGATTTCTGACGGACGGTCAAAATTTACAGCAAGCCAGCCCGATGGTATGAAATATGGCCCGTCTTACGCCCGAGACGGGCTAGATTTCTGACGGACAGTCAAAATTTACAGCAAGCCAGCCCGATGATATGAAATATGGCCCGTCCGACCGCCCGAGACGGGCTAGATTTCTGACGGACGGTCAAAATTTACAGCAAGCCAGCCCGATGATATGAAATAAGGCCCGTCTGATCGCCCGAGACGGGCTAGATTTCTGACGGACGGTCAAAATTTACAGCAAGCCAGCCCGATGCTATGAAATAAGGCCCGTCTGACCGCCCGAGACGGGCTAGATTTCTGACGGACGGTCAAAATTTACAGCAAGCCAGCCCGATGCTATGAAATAAGGCCCGTCTGACCGCCCGAGACTGGCTAGATTTTTGACGGACGGTCAAAATTTACAGCAAGCCAGCCCGATGGTCTGGTAAAAATTTGAGATGTTCCATACATCTGAGTAAATTCACCATATCTTGGTGTCTGGTCTGGTTAAATTCCATGTGGGATGGTAACATTTTTAAGTTACCAGCCCTGATATCTGGCTGTGTTTCTGGCTTATTTCATACACTGAAGATGATCAGTATTTGATTGGCACCTAAAACACTGTCTCATATTACTTTCCCATGGATTCATTTGCTTCTATTGGAGTTTTTCAGAGACTAAGCATTAGTTAGCACGAGGAACATTAGTTAACCCAGAATCAGCACAAAATCCATGACATTCTCCCAGTGTTATAATGGGACTATACCTGCTGAGATAATTACGTTTCAGACAGTGCAAACTAATAAGTGTCCTAATTTGAGTTTTGTTGAAGTAAGATAAACGTACAATGTCTCTTGTACGTGTATGTTGGCTGTTCACAGACTGATTTCTTGTTATTACAGACACAAATTGGTGTTTGTGTTCTTTACTTCATAAACACAAGATTGTGTTTTAATTTTACGTAAGTGTTATTCTATTCACCCGTTTTATTACATTCAATAAACAGATAGTTTATTACAGGGTGTTATTTTTACCAACTGTGATGAATGATTCCCACTGACAAACACAGGCATGTTGAAAATGACAAACATTTGTTGTTTGAAGATGGATAGATACGACACTTTTGACATGTTTGCCTATAGGCACAAGAAGGCTGTACATTTTATTTTTTAACACCACATTCAGCACTCTTTCAGCAATATGACAGTAGTGGCCTGCTACAATTGACTGACTGACTGACTGAGTTCGGTTTTACGCCGCTTTTAGCAATATTCCAGCAACATCACGGCGGGGGACACCAGAAATGGGCTTCACACATTGTACCCATGTGGGGATTCGAACCCGGGTCTTCGGCGTGATGAGCCAACGCTTTGACCACTAGGCTACCCCACCGCCCCCAGGGCCAGACAGTCCAGTGACTGATGTGGAGATCATTCGGATTCATTGATCACCTGATTTATTAAGTCGCATGTTACAACGACCAAAAATGATTGTTAGGACCATTTTTCAGGATAATGAGGTGATGGAAGGCAGCTGGCTGATTTGTTGGTAAACTGCTCAAGCTGTAGGAACTCATCCCCCAAACAATCTGGACTGTTCCACTTTCATATCCATTTGGATATGACCACTCTGATTTCATCACCTCTGCTGCTGTTACAAGTAGTTTAAGATCACTGTTTAATCTCAGACTCAAACTCAGACAAAGACAGAGACACAAACATGGACACGGACAGAGAGTCGCACACAATTCAGACAGACAAAGTCCCCGATACACAAGCTTTCAACAAATTCCATGCCAAACAGAACCAAGGCTGAAACTGAAACATATTAAGCAGAACAACATGGCAACCAAGGAAAGTGCAACAGCTAAATAATAATGGTAGCCAACACAAGGTCAACACAAGGTCAATACATTGTCAAAGCTTTTGATTGGTGGGAGTAATGTCTGTTTAAACTGACTTAGCTCTGATTAAAGCGTTTTCCTCTCTGAAAATAACACAAAGATGACATGCAGGAACTGATTTTTGGGAAACGTCGGTTGTTGTGTCGAGATGATGAACCGACTGACAGACTGTCTACCTGTCTGACTGACCAGAAGACTGATAAACAAATTGACACAATGACTGTCTGACAGACTGACGGTGCAGCTGTATTGCTACAAGTACACAACATGATCGATGATTTAAAACAACGCAACTTATCACAGAAAGCAGGGGAATGAAATAGCTGAACTACAATGTTTTTTGTATCTCTCAAAAATAATAAATAATATCTACATAAAACTACTAACACAGGACCGAATTCACACAAAACATTTAAGAGTCATCTACGTCAGAACAAATAATAGAATTTACTTATATAACAATTTTGAAAATATTTCCTGCTAGTTTTCCCACCATGTTTCTTCCTGCTCTGCCCTTATTCCTAGTTCAGTATACTACTACTTATCACACAACTAGTTCTGTATACTACAGGCATCAAGACATGTTCCCTACAACTAATTCTATATACTACTGTTCTTCAAACCTAACTTTCTTCACATGAAAGGAGAATGATGATAGCGAGAAAAACTTTGACAATGTACATCTGCAGTGCAATGAAGACATTACTAGTGATGAGGGTATAATAGTATATAACAATCACTCAGTGGTCAAATACTGGTTGCTATTCTTCAATGGAACCTGAAGTAGACACTTAATACTGTCTTGTATCTTCTATCTTTTCATATACCTAAAATTGGTATATTCCTTCACAGGTTTTATTCTACAAATCCAAATTTCATCAATATTTACAATTTGGCCCAAAAGTTTCTCACACGTTACACTTCAGGTCGATGTAAAAACTATCTCAAGGTAGGTACAAAATACTGTTTTCAACACAACTACTTCAGAAAAACAAATGTATTAAACATGATAGTTTCAGAAAACAGTATATTTTACAACATACAGTGTACATGTAATTTAAAATGCTAAAAAAATTATTTTATGAAACTTAATTAGATGTTCCATGGAAACGTCGTACCTGTACTTGACCAGAGAAGGAATAGTCAGTAGTCACCTTAGTACTATTATCTAGAGTGGACACGAGAGGCAGAATTCTCCTCATGTGGGAATCCAGACGAAAAGTAAAGCAAAATGCGGTTAAAACAAGCGTGAGAGGACAGCAGCTGCCAGTCTAATGGCATCCATCCACGAGGCATGAATCTGGTACAACTCCCACAATGCTCATGAACAAGAGGGGATATTTATAACAAGCTTGAGAGGAAGAACATGTTAGTTTGAAATATATAAGGGGGCAAATTTCAAAATGCTTGAAAAGTAAGTGACGGTTATTTCAAAATGCTTGAAAAGTAAGAGAATGTATATGAAATATATAGGCAGTAACTTCATCTGAGCGGAGACCATCTATAATATGGTCTCTAAAATGAGCATGAAAGAACAGGGCACGGACTTCAAAAAGCTATGAAAAAAAAGGGATAGTGACTTCAAAATGTTTAAAAAGAAAAAAAGGGGTATTAACTGCAAATGTGTGTAAAGTAGGTGGGTGATTTTGAAATAACTTGAACTTGAAGAGAGACAATTCAAATTAGAAAATAAGGGGAGATAATTCCCAAATGCTGAAGACTGAGCATGATTGACAGGTCATGGTGACATGGAGAATACACATGAAATATGACTGGTCATGGGTCATACAATTACACTGTGTTGATCTTCAGGATGAAATGGATGACCTTTTCATGACTGTTACCATGAAACATAGAAGCAATGTGACTGTATGCTTGTCAAAGACACATAGTCACAGAGATTCCAGGTAAGCCATATGGGAAGGTGGGAAAGTCATTGTATGAAGTCTGTGCTAACTGATTATTTTGTCCAAAACAATGTTTCATGAATCCTTCGATGGCTGAAGCTGTTGTTAAAACCCACTAGAGACAAGGCTATCAATATGAATACAAAATATCTCTTTATAAAGTGGTCTAATGCTATATCAATTTGTGCACCTTCTTAGTTAAGTACAAATTTTATGACCTTTTTTGGTTGAGTCCCATACAGGATTTGAACCTACAGTAGTCAGCACACAAAAGTCAGCAATATAACCCTCTCCAGCAGCAGGAGCTTTGCTTGCAAAGTGGGCTTGCTTGATGACTTTGTCTATTGACGATTTGATGCCCATAAAGGGACATGATTTGGTCCCATCTGGGACTCAACCCCCTCAAAAATATTAGAATTTGTTCATTACTGAAGAAGTGTAATCCCAAGGCTGAAAATGTTGTTTGAGATTTTGAAACATTGATACTAGTGGGTGAACACTAGCTCTAGCTCTGAGTAGTGATAAATATGAAATAAATTTCCACACGTCTCTTGTTGCTGGAATAGTCCGCAACCTCATGACGGAACAAATCAAGATTGCTAATACACACCACCAATTCCAACAAATTACCCACGTCTTAAAAACTATTTAGAAAATATGTCACTCAAAATCCCTTGGGAAAATTTATGAATCAAATTTTCAGAAACTGCTTTTTAGTGCTAAATGCTTCTGTCGGCATGAGTTCTGTGGTGTAAGGACATTGGATGAATGGTGTGTTACCTTTACAGAAACCTCTAAAGACTGGACTAGTATCTCTTACTCAGAGATGCCAACCCTATTTTGGGCCTAAGTGTAATACTAGACGTCAAAAAAGTGTAATTTTGACCTAAAAAGTGTAATATTTGTTTGCCGATTGCTTCAACATGGTACACGTTTTCACGAAAGGAAGATTCTAGACAGAAACACATGTGACCAATCATTATGAGGCTCCATACATTGAAAATTGTTGGTCATGTGACTCAAAATACTTTAATTCCTTGCAAGTTCCTTGGAATGAGTGCATTGCTAAGAGTAAGCAATTCCTATCGATGCAAGGCCATTTCTGCACCCCCGCATCTGTACGTTACGAAACACTTCCCTGTGAAATTTTACCCACTTTATTGATTTTCGTAAAACGAGTAGAAAAGGTAATTTTCGCAGATTAAGTGTAATGGCGTAATTTACTGGTCAAAATCGTAATAATTACGCCTAAAGCGTAAGGGTTGGCATCTCTGCTTACTGCATGTGTAATCTCACCAGGGAATATCTGTGATCCTATTTACACTTCAGAAACACCACCATCAACACACCCTTGTGTCAAACTTATGGTTGTGTTGAAGTAAAATCTTAGCCCTGTGTATTCCTTCTTTCATCAACAGTTTGTTTACATAGGTTTTTTCAACTTCTACACGATGTTTGACTGCACTCGGGCACATAGGGCTGTCTTTCTCTTATCAACAATAACCAAAGAATTTACTTTTTACCTGTTTTTCTTTATATAAATCTTACTATTGACAATAAGAAATCACTACTTTTAGTTTTAGTTGTAAAGGATGTAATGATTCTAATGAACACAGAATCAGTTGTGTCTAATCTATTCACACTCACTGAACTATTATCCTACAACTATATACAATATACAAGATTTCAGAGTGTATTACATTTACTTCAAACGTGAGTATTTCCAGTCTTTCTATCTTAGTCTTGCATAGTTGATGTGTTTCTATCTTGCTTGTAGTACTCAACATCCAGAATCAACTCCACCTTACTGGGAGTACCAAGCTTATGACCGGCCATCACCAGGATCTTCAACTCACTGATGTGGCTGAAGTCAGTTACATGGAGTAGGATATCAGCCACCTATCATGTTATTTAGTTATTTACGTGTGATGCATGACAAAGGAACCTACTACAGGAGATATACATATATATATCACCCCAAAAAGTCAAGGAACACTTGATTCTTTCATATTACTTCAGTCACCCTTCATGACAAGTAACTATAGCAACGTCAAACAATGAGGTGGTCCTTGACCTTTTAGAGTGGTATATATGTCTGTATACAATGTCCATGATCTGTTGGATATATTCTGACTTCAGACCAAAGTGAGATGTCATTTTGGACCTAGAGAACAATTTGTCACTTCTGACCTTAGGGAAATATTGTCATTTTGGACCTAGTGAACAATTTGTCACTTCTGACCTTGGGGAGATATTGTCATTTCTGACCTTAGGAAAATATTGTCATTTTGGACCTAGGGAACAATTTGTCACTTCTGACCTTGGGGAGCTATTGTCATATCTGACCTTGGACAGAGATTGTAACTTCCGACCGAGTAATGTTTGGGAAATATTTCATGTTTACATCGGCAAAATGGACCTACATCTGCCACAAGACAATTGTGATTGTGACCTCTCACCAAAGAAGTAACTTGATATGTGATATGTATGATGGTGATGATTACCATGATGATGATGATGATCATGATGTGATGGGCAGATGAGTCCAGCTACAGTGCAGCTAGAGGGCACAAACAGGGGTGTAAAATGCACCATCACAGTGATGTTAGAAAAGTAGTTCTCAGGAAAGTAGTCTTGGTAATAAAAGCATTATTATGAAGTAAAAGTTGTTAGCAGTTATGACACCATCACCGAAGAGTGAGCTTGTCTTACTTAATGCTATGTCACAGTGAGGGCCAGTCCAGGCTTCCTGGCAGTCACATGCTCCGGTCAACAGATCACAGATGCCCTTGTTCTTGCAGTCACAGAAGTATTGACAGTTCGGCCCATACGTTCCTCGTGTGCAGGCTGAAGTAAAATTCATCAACAAATGAACGAGTTGAAATTTATGCAACTTTTAGCAATAGTCCAGGAATGTCATGGCAGGTGACATCAGAATTGGCTTCATATTTTGTACTTATCTTGTGACTTCAAACCAGAGCCTCTTAGCATGATGAGCAAATGCTTTACTAGAGGGCTTTCCATCATGCCTCCCATGCCTAAGCACATTGTAACACACACAGAAGCTTATTAGCTACTATAACCATTGTGAACAATTGTTTTACATGGGACTTGCCACAGGTTCCACAAGGATTCTTACAAAAGAGCGGTGTATAACAGAGATACTACATACCATTCTGGCACTGAGGTCCTGTTACACCGGGCGGACAGAGGCACTGCCCAGTCATGTGGTCACACTCCACAGCGCCACAGTTGCACTCCTCTTGACATCTGACCCCGAACGTGCCATTAGGACACTCTGTAAACACAGAGCACTTCATTAAATGGGAATCATTCAACAATTGATGTTTAGTTCCTCCATCAGATCAATTTTCACATTTGATCTATGCTATCAATGATTTGAAAATATCTGATAATTGAAATAATAATAATTATATGCTACTTATATAATACTGAACTCCACGCTGCACGTGCATGATCTAAGTGCGTACAGCATAATCTCCATTATTACCCGAGATAGCACAAATTGTGTCTGTGAGGCGCTGGAAAGGTTAACATCAATGCCAGAGAATATCCAGTCTCGAATCAACCAAAACAGATTCCATAAGGTAAAAGGCTTACTTGACTAACATCTAGTCTCTGAAATGAACATATTTTACAGAAAAATATTGTTCATAAAAAATAATCATGAAATATAATGAAAAGGAGCCCAGAGACTTTCTTCATTTTGAGAAACTATGGAAATCTAGACTTGCCACATAATCTAGACTTGCATGGGCTTTCATGGATATATTTGTTTCAGGGTTTGTATGAAAAACTAAAGGCATACAAACTGTGAAATATAACTGGTGAGCTGAGACAAGGATAACTCACTGAGTTCACACTGTCTTCCTGTGTAGCCTGGTGGACATTTACACTGGCCGTTGATGGGGTTGCACCGGGCGCCGTTGACACACTCACACCGATCGCTGCAGTACGGGCCGTGAGTTCCACTGGGACATGCTGGAGACATGCACGATGTGGTGAGACATGGACAGATATCATCACAAACAGAAACTTGGTGAAACAGAGAGACATAGAGAGACATGGAGAGATGGTAATGAGAAACAGGTCCACATACAGAAGACATGATGAGAACGGAGAGACACAATAAGACATACATGAGATAAAGAGACACTGAGAGACAGGCAGAGGCAATTAGAGAAACTGACTGACTGACTGAGTATGGTTTTATGCCATTTTTAGCAATATTCCAGCAATATCAAGGCGGGGGACACCAGAAATGGGCTTCACAAATTGTACCCATGTGGGGAATCGAACCCGGGCCTTCGGCGTGACGAGCGAATGCTTTAACCACTAGGCTACCCCACCGCCCCAGAGAAACTGAACAGGATGGAGAGTCTGAGATACAATTAGGGAAACTGAGCAAGATGAAGAGGCAGAGAGACATAGAGAGACATTCTGGAATATTTCAAAACAAGTGTCTGAATACCTCTGTCATCAAGTGACTCTAAGAACCATTTATTGTTTCATTGCATTGTAAGAGGATTAGCATGTGAACAATATTGATTTCAACATATCAAAACCATTTCAACAGGAAATGTGGCTAATTTTGGATCCTCAACTAATACTTAACTCACACATTACCAGTACACATTATGTCTCAGGAATATACCATAACATTCAAAGTACAGGTAATTATGGATGAACTTCTTTGAGTGGCATTTTAGAAGCTGGGAAGTACAAAATTGACAAACTGTAGGGATAACAATGTCTTTATTACGAGAGTACGGTACAAGAATCTGTATCAAAACATTGCACTCTCGTAATAAAGAAGTTGTTATCCATAAAGTTTGTCAATTATGGATGAAGTTTCCAGGTGTTACCTAGGTCACAGTTTTGTCCATAAAAGCCATCTTTACAATGGCAGCAGCCGGTGACTGGGTCGCAGGCTGCCCCGTTCTGGCAGGTACATGTGTGGTTACAGTTGGGACCAAACCGTCCGCTCTCACACTGGTCGTTACACTTAGGGCCCATCCAACCCAGGGCACATCGACATTCTCCGGTCTCATGGTTGCAGACGCCGTGGATGCAGTTGCACTTCATGGAGCAGCCTTCACCGTACATGCCGTATGTGCAGGCTGAAACACAGCGACAACATGATACACACAACCATCATCACCCCTTGAAAACAATCCTTACATCTGGATGAAGAGAGTAACATACTGTTGTATAAAATCAAAAACAGTGCGCCCCTCTTTTTTCTGAGCTTACTAATAATGTTGATATACAAAAAGACATACAATTAAATCATAATTTCAAATAACAATAAATTTTACCCTAAAAGAAAACATTATACCGTGAATGCTGTAATTGTTCTATCTCAAGAGCAATACAATCTTTGACACCCACTTCTTTGCAAAACATCTGCATCAATGTACATAGTTTGTCTGTGTTCACAGTTGAGTGCGTGAGTGAGTTGGGTTTTACACCACTTTTAGCAATATTCACACATAAAAGGCGTTCATTTGTTCATTCACTTTCTTTTGTGTTGTCAAATACTGGAGTTGATGGAGCCAGTAAGTATGGTTTAACTCTGCTTTTTGCAGTATTCCAGTAATATCATGGTGGGGAACACCAGAAATGGGCTTCACACATTGTACCCATGTCGGGACTTGACTTCAGCATGATGAGCGAACGCAATAACCACTTGGCTACCCCACCTGCTGTTTACAGTAGAAGACCACCCACCTTCCTGGTACTGTTTACAGTAGAAGACCACCCACCTTCCTGGCACTGTTTACAGTAGAAGACCACCCACCTTCCTGGCACTGTTTACAGTAGAAGACCACCCACCTTCCTGGCACTGTTTACAGTAGAAGACTTCCTGGCACTGTTTACAGTAGAAGACCACCCACCTTCCTGGCACTGTTTACAGTAGAAGACCACCCACCTTCCTGGCACTGTTTACAGTAGAAGACCACCCACCTTCCTGGCACTGTTTACAGTAGAAGACCACCCACCTTCCTGGCACTGTTTACAGTAGAAGACCACCCACCTTCCTGGCACTGTTTACAGTAGAAGACCACCCACCTTCCTGGCACTGTTTACAGTAGAAGACCACCCACCTTCCTGGCACTGTTTACAGTGGAAGACCACCCACCTTCCTGTGTTTTACAGTAGAAGACCACCCACCTTCCTGGCACTGTTTACAGTAGAAGACCACCCACCTTCCTGGCACTGTTTACAGTAGAAGACCACCCACCTTCCTGGCACTGTTTTACCACCCACCTTCCTGGCACTGTTTACAGTAGAAGACCACCCACCTTCCTGGCACTGTTTACAGTAGAAGACCACCCACCTTCCTGGCACTGTTTACAGTAGAAGACCACCCACCTTCCTGGCACTGTTTACAGTAGAAGACCACCCACCTTCCTGGCACTGTTTACAGTAGAAGACCACCCACCTTCCTGGCACTGTTTACAGTAGAAGACCACCCACCTTCCTGGCACTGTTTACAGTAGAAGACCACCCACCTTCCTGGCACTGTTTACAGTAGAAGACCACCCACCTTCCTGGCACTGTTTACAGTAGAAGACCACCCACCTTCCTGGCACTGTTTACAGTAGAAGACCACCCACCTTCCTGGCACTGTTTACAGTAGAAGACCACCCACCTTCCTGGCACTGTTTACAGTAGAAGACCACCCACCTTCCTGGCACTGTTTACAGTAGAAGACCACCCACCTTCCTGGCACTGTTTACAGTAGAAGACCACCCACCTTCCTGGCACTGTTTTTACAGTAGAAGACCACCCACCTTCCACCTTCCTGGACACCCACCTTCCTGGCACTGTTTACAGTACTGTTTACAGTAGACCACCCACCTTCCTGGCACTGTTTACAGTAGAACCCACCACCCACCTTCCTGGCACTGTTTACAGAAGACCACCCACCTTCCTGGCACTGTTTACAGGTAAGACCACCCACCTTCCTGGCACTGTTTACAGTAGAAGACCACCCACCTTCCTGGCACTGTTTACAGTAGAAGACCACCCACCTTCCTGGCACTGTTTACAGTAGAAGACCACCCACCTTCCTGGCACTGTTTACAGTAGAAGACCACCCACCTTCCTGGCACTGTTTACAGTAGAAGACCACCCACCTTCCTGGCACTGTTTACAGTAGAAGACCACCCACCTTCCTGGCACTGTTTACAGTAGAAGACCACCCACCTTCCTGGTACTGTTTACAGTAGAAGACCACCCACCTTCCTGGCACTGTTTACAGTAGAAGACCACCCACCTTCCTGGCACTGTTCGCCTTTATATCCTGCAGGGCACTTGCACTTCCCAGATCTCTTGTTACAGCGGGCGCCGTTCTGACAGCGGCAGATCTTGGAACACTGTTCTCCATATCTGTTCTCCGGGCAGCGATGAGCACATGTAGGTCCGATGTATCCATCCTGGCATGTGCATTCGCCAGTTATGTTGTTGCACAAACCACCATTCAAACACTGGCACAATTGTTTACATTCTGGCCCGAACTGTTTGCCGTCACAACCTGAAATGTGAGCTTCCTATCAACATGTGCTCAGTACAATAAATATCATGCATGTGTTTAAAACATTGTCAGTCCTTGTGCAAAACCTGACTATCATGCATGTGTTTAAAACACTGTCAGTCCTTGTGTAAAACCTGAATATCATGCATGTGTTTAAAACATTGTCAGTCCTTGTGTAAAACCTGACTATCATGCATGTGTTTAAAACATTGTCAGTCCTTGTGTACAACCTGAATATCATGCATGTGTTTAAAACATTGTCAGTCCTTGTGTAAAACCTCAATATCATGCATGTGTTTAAAACATCATCAGTCCTTGTGCAAAACCTGACTATCATGCATGTGTTTAAAACATCATCAGTCCTTGTGCAAAACCTGACTATCATGCATGAGTATAAAACATCATCAGTCCTTGTGCAAAACCTGACTATCATGCATGTGTTTAAATCATCATCAGTCCTTGTGTAAAACCTGAATATCATGCATGTGTTTAAAACATCATCAGTCCTTGTGTAAAACCTGACTATCATGGCACACTCCATGAGCATTTACGTGAAACCACATATGCCATATAAATGCTGTATTCTCAACAACCCCATTTGCATGTGGGCAGTGTGGTGAGTGAGTGAGTTGCGTTTAACGTTAATTTTATCAATATTCCAGCAACACACAGAGGCTACACCAGAAATGAGCTTCACCCATTGTACCCCCATTTGGAATTGAACCCAGGCCCACGGTGTGAGGAGCGAACACTTTAGCCACTTGGCTACCCTACCATCCCCTGAGGAGAGTGAGTGAGTTAGTCATCATCGTCATCAACAGCTACAACCTGCTGGAACACTATAGAGTGAGTGAGTGAGTGTTTTCATCACCAACAGCTTCAGCCAACTACAGCACTATGTACAGTGAGTGAGTGAGTGTTTCACCACCAACAGTGAGTGTTACTGCAATTGGGTTCAGGACTGGCTCAGACAAACCAGTGGGTAAATACATTATATAATAAAAATAATGTCTGTCCTTACATTACGACAAACTAAGTAGAGGCTCAGTGTTAACACTATCACGCTAGTCAGTGGATCAGTGAGCACTTAGTTTTCCGGTACTTGAAAGTTAGCAGTCACATTAACATCTCATCCTGCTAGGTGGACAGAGGCATACTTGGAACATGGTCATTGCCTCAGGAGACACCACATGTACTACATGTGCTTCAGTGTGCAGTAGTGACTTTAGTTTTATGTCGCTTTTAGCAATATTCCAGCAATAACACAGCGAAAGACTTTAGAAATGGGCTTCACACATTGTACCCATGTGGGGAATCGAACCCGGGTCTGTGGCGTGATGAATGACCACATTCACCACTAGGCTACCCCACTGCCCCCCGGTAAGAGGGAAGGGGGGTGGGGTAGCCTAGTGGTTAAAGCGTTGGCTCGTCACCCCGAAGACCCGGGTTCGAATCCCCACATGGGTACAATGTGTGAAGCCCATTTTTGGTGTCCCCTGCAGTGATGTTGCTGGAATATTGCTAAAAGCGGCGTAAAACCAAACTCAGTCAGTCAGTCAGTCGGTAAGAGGGAAAACCTAGAAACTCTGCATGCAGTGACATATCCAAGGACTCTCCACAACTTACGATGCTTAACCTCACACAATTTGTGATCTGTGCACAGGACCACGTGTAACCATATATAAACAATAGTTATATTGACAAACAATCATGCATGAAAAACAACAAATTATGCACATCACATAATACCACACATCACATAGGTTATATATACACATATAGGTAACAGAAACGCATCACTGTAAACAGCATGCATATTCAAGGCTTAAGCTCCTATTCAGGTAACTCCTCATTTGAATATTCTAATTTGCAACGTAACTGTTGGTTGTGGGAACCACCACTAGGCCTGCTTACTCTTTCTGGGAACATCTGGTGCTCTTCATGATTTCTAGATATCCATCCATACAAATTTACCACTGCTTTAGTTTCTCCTTGTTTTCATTAAGGGACAGGTTCAAAAGTTCAATGAAGAATAGAAAAACTTTATTTCTCTGGTTTTCAGACAACCCCCACTGCCCTATCCCCCTCCACAAAAATCTTATTTAAGAAGTTGAAGTCTTTGTGATGTGAACACGCTGTCAATAAGAATCAAAAGCATAGCTATTAACACTTCACGGGCCAATCTTATTGCAATACGGTTTCTGTTACTAGATGCAGGATGAGCTAACTATCTAACAGCGACAAGGATCATGTTGTATAAATAAGATCTTTGCTTAGTTTAGTTAATATACATACCGGTAACATAGAGAATCAGTTGATTTTGTCAGACAGAAAACATTAAGAGCAATAACCCCTTGGCCGAAGCAATTTAATTCTTTATCAAACATAAAACTTCAGAACAAATCCCTAATCTAGATCATCTCTCACTTCGGAGAAGTTCAGTTTTATTAAACTCAGTTTTTGTATGATTGGTGGAAGAAGACCAGAGAACCAATGTAGAAAACAAGATTGTCGCAAGTCTATGTGAAAGTATGGGAGTTATCATCACTTTATCGCTAAGATCGCTTTGTACAATGTACCTTGATGTCTTCCTTAACCAGGTAGATATACTGGTGTTATATTCCATGGGATGAGGGAAGATAAGGGTGATATATAGGATATACAGGTTTGATATATACCAGATATATGTGATACTGGGACAATAATGACCACATTCAAATATAACAATGTACAACAATACTGTTATACTGTTTGACAATGTACAACAATACTGTTATACTGTGTGACAATGTACAACAGCGCTTGTCCATACATACCCAGAGTCCAGGAGGCTTACAGGAGGAAATAACAAGCTTAGCCCAAGAAGATACTACATGGTGGACAACTCAGACCAAGAAGATACTATGTGGTTGACAACTAGTCTACATGAGATCAGTTAGATATCTACAAACAGAGAAGTAGCTGAGAACCAGGGTACTACAGAGGTAATAATTTACCATATAGACAGGATAGCACAGGAAACAGTTTCAGTTCATAATTCTTAAAACTTAAAGTTTAAAAACTTCATTTCAGTTGCGTACTCTTACAGCTTGTCACCTACAAACAGATGAATCTTACCCTGGCTTGATCATATACAGTGAAACCCACTAATCTGCATGACACTGAAGGACATTGTTTTGATTAACAAATGTCCATATGACTGTAGCATGGGTATGGAGAAATATCACACATAGCATGTGTGTAGTGTATATCACACATATCACATCTGTAGTGTATATCACAGATATGTGTGTAGTGTATATCACACATATCACGTCTGTAGTGTATATCACAGATATCATGTGTGTAGTGCATGTGACACAAACCATGTGTGCAGTGTATATCACACATATCACGTGTGTAGTGTATATCACACATATCAAGTCTGTAAGGTATATCACAGATATGTGTGTAGTGTATATCACACATATCACGTCTGTAGTGTATATCACAGATATCATGTGTGTAGTGTATATGACACATGCCATGTGTGCAGTGTATATCACACATATCACGTGTGTAGTGTATATCACACATATCACGTCTGTAGTGTATATCACAGATATCATGTGCCTTGTAGTGTATATGACACATGCCATGTGTGCAGTGTATATCACACATATCACGTGTGTAGTGTATATCACACATATCACATCTGTAGTGTATATCACAGATATGTGTGTAGTGTATATCACACATATCACGTCTGTAGTGTATATCACAGATATCATGTGTGTAGTGTATATGACACATATAACGTGTGTAGTGTATATCACACATATCACGTGTGCAGTGTATATCACACATATCATGTGTGTAGTGTATATCAAACATATCACATCTGTAGTGTATATCACAGATATGTGTGTAGTGTATATGACACATACTATGTGTGCAGTGTATATCACACATATCACGTGTGTAGTGTATATCACACATCACGTGTGTAGTGTATATCACACATATAAAACATATCATGTGTGTAGTGTATATCACACATATCACGTGTGCAGTGTATATCACACATACTATGTGTGCAGTGTATATCACAGATATGTGTGTAGTGTATATCACACATATTATGTGAATAGTACATATCACACATACTGTATCTGTAATGTATACCAAATGACGAGTCCCGGGTAAATGCTATATTTAATCAATATATGTGTTACTTACAAACAACCTCTAGTATTCAAAGCTGACCATCATATCATCTTAGCTGAAGAACTATTTGCATATCATTCAAATTCTGAAGATGACCAAAGGCGAAGTGGCAGAAAGCGGAGAGTTCTACAAGTTTGAACAATTTCAGCAGTTCACCTCTAGTGATAAATGACACAAATACACAATCAGTTGCCATAGTTACCTGCTTCTAGTGGAGAGAAGCCGTCCAAGTCCTTGGTTTTCCTGTTCCATCCCTTCCTACCGAGTTTATACTTAAACAGCTTCCTACCCTGCCTCCGCGCTGCATGCCAAACACTCCCGCCATTAGTACAAGGCTAAAGTCAGCGAAACTGAGAGAAACTCTTCAGTAAGGGTTTAAAATAAAACATTTTCCAAATAGTCCAGACTGCCTGATACACCTCATTTACACAGACAATACAGATCTCTTGTTAAACAAGGCTTTCTGAGTGACCCCAGTTATCCAGACAATAGAATGCACTAGCTTTTGGTAAGGAATGTCAGAATCTGATTCATCCTTCAGTCAGTCGAGACATGGTAGACTGTGGCTTGTGCTGAACATGTGGATTAATGGTTTACTTTCAAGAATATCCTTTGAAGGATAAATATCAATTTCACATTTATTTTATTTAGTTTTATTTTGAACCCTGTGATGGTCTGACACTGTGGTTAGTAAGCTGTTTCTCTCAGTTTCTTTGTTACAAGCAAATAGCAAAACAATATCAGGTTTTGTGAAGATCCGTGCTGCTTGAGGTCTGCTTGATTTTAGTGTGTAGGATTTACTTCTGATGCAGGCTATACATAGGAACCATCTACGACCTGACTGATACGTATAAAAGCAGTTTTATCAAATTAAGAAAATATTCAACTGTGTTATACTTTTTGCAGCACCTCTGCTGTACACGGGTCCACAACACGCAGCATCCTCTAGCAGCATCAGCAGCATAGCATTAGTGAGCTATACACAAGGAAAAAAAGTTAAGCACCACCATTCTACATTTTCATAAAGCCATTAGTCTATCTATCTTTTAGAAATTTCTATGTATGACCTTTTCCTTGTCTAAAGATTGCTTAATATACAACTTCTGTTCTCTGACAAGACTGCCCTGATAGGCCTGATGAGAATAGATGCTTGATGGGCATTTAGAAGTTGGAAGGAACATTACAACGTATGGTATGGATTTACAACTTATCTATTATTTACAACACAACGTTTCTGGACTTCTTCTTGCCTCTTCATCAGGTGAATGGATTTACAACTTCATTAATATTTACAACATGACGTTTCTGGGCTACTCCTTGCCACGTCATCAGGTGAATGACGAAGGGGCAAGAAGCCGTCCAGAAACGTTGTGTTGTAAATAATAAAGAAGTTGTAAATCCATACCATACGTTGTTATGCTGCTGAGAACACTCTACACTTCTCCTGTTGATTCAAGTAGCAGGGGACACACATGAAACGGTTGTCAAACATCTATTGCCATCGAGGGGGTATGAAACATTTAGTGGTTGGTTTCTGTATTTCACATACTTTGTTAACAGTAATATCTGTATTTGTCAGGTAAAAGATACAACCTCCAAATTTTCCTATCTTATATTGAAATATATATATGGTGTGTGGTGCTTATGTTTTTTTCCTTGTATATATATGTCAAAAGTATTTGTCAATCTCTTAAGATTATGTTTATCTACATGAATGAGAGATTTGTAGCTGATCAAACAGTCAACTTTTGTGATGCTGTAAATAAACAGCTCTTCTGAACTTGTCCTGAATAACATGCTGTTACCAGAAACAAGTGTTACACCTGTACGGCAGGTACAAACCTCTCACAGAGTCTTCACAATGCCACTACCTGTCTGCCAGGTAATGGTAGCTTTCTTCAGATAAAAGGATTTGTCAGTCAGAGTTCGGCCCAAATATAATCATTGAAAATATGATTGCATTGACAGTTTGTCTGTAAACATATTTCTGGACATAATCATGGAATAACACGAATATTTGAAGTTTTGTCTTTTTCCTCAAAAGAATTTAAAAAATGGGACAAATGCAGAAATATTGGACTCTTTCATTTCATCCCCTTCCCAAAAACATTATTTTTACTTGTAAGAATAAAACAAATACAATAATAAAAATTTACTTGAACCAACAGACAATTCCTTTCAGACAACACTTAAATAAATATTTCAGATACAGACCAAACTTGTGTGAATGAGTACTATATTAATAAAAAGTTCCAGACACTGTTTTATCTTGAATTAAGTGTTCAAGTTACGCTATATTAAACTACATGTTCTATATCATGGTCTGTCTTGACACATCAATCTAACTAATGGTGATCTAAGTACTGAATGAGCTGAGATTGTAGAAGTAAAGGTTGCACATGCCTGAATGTGAGAGGTGCTATTATCCATACAACTGTGCACAAGTGATGTTGGAGAGAGTATTAGTGAGTGAGATCATTCCTCATTTTTAGACAGAATCCATTAACCAATGTCTGGCAGTGGATGGAAATAGATTAAACATGCAACAAAAGCATGTGATAAGAACCACTGAAGGGCACCTGTAAAACACTTAGTAACATTACAGTAAGTAGTAGAATTGTCACAAGATATGTTATGTACTGTAAAACAGGCAAACATAGCAGAAGCCCGAACCTTTGTCAGTTTGATTAATTTGTGTCTCTTACTCCCTCAGGCTGGAAATTTAGATGTTGGGTCAAATAAAAGGTATAAAAGGTTCTTAACAGTGTCCAAAATAAGGGGTTCTCGAGATAAGCTCCAATTGTATTGTTACCTATGACCCAGATGTGCCTAAAATAGGCATAAGAGTACTTAATAGTGTTCACAATGAAGAGTGCCTGGGTCCTTGAGATAGGCTGCCATTCTATTTGTATCTAGGATCCATAAATTTAGAATTTTTCCATACTGGCATTACAAGGACTACTTGACATTAATACTCACTGATTTACAACTATTGCAGCATTAAGGATGCCGGAGTAGACATAACTACGGAATTACCGGTATGTCTTTTTCAGGGTTTTCTTGTTAGGGAATACTTATGGGATTGCTACTTCAAGCTTACAACATTAAGACATATTTTTGGGAGACCCAGCACCTAAGCTACAGTCAGTGGGTGATAGAAACAAACAGGTAACTGCCTTTGGCATTACCATCAAAGCAAAAGACCTTTTTGTTTGCACTTCAAATTTCAGGGACTTCAACATATTCAATGCATCAAGATGTCTTGGAAACATCAGGTTTTGGGGCTTTCCTGGCACTAAAATCTTAGGTAACATTATGTCAATGTAAAAGTGCTGAGTTTGGAACCATTGTTATTACAAGGATCAGCCATACCATGGGTTAAGGATGTTAATGGGAGATAATTAGCTGCATTTAAAAGTCTAATTTTCAGACAATGGAAATGTTCTTGCAGTGATAGTCACAGAATAGAAGGCCAACAAACCCCCAAGGCCAATAAACCCTTAACACCTCAAGGCCAACAATCCCTGACATGCAAACTGCATTCATGGCATGAACAAACAGATGCAGTTAGTTATCATCCTGATCATGTGACTTGATCATGTGACCTGATCATGTGACTGTGAGTTTACCTTTGCGGCAATCCCTGCCCTTTGGACCAGGGGGGACACATGCACTCCCCTGTAATGTGGTGGCAGACCATGTCGCCATGACACTCGCACCGTCCTCGACACTCCGGACCAAAGTTACCCTTGGGACATCCTGGGAGAAAATAACAGCAGAAGTCCTCAAAAGTTACTATATAAATAGAAGCACTATAGACAGACATTCTTGAAGTACATTCAAAGTAGACACTTGACAGTCAAATGATTTGAGTTGATTGACATGTCCTTGGATTTCTTAAACAGAAACCGTTTTAATAACATCGGTATATATGTGGTTGATAGAAAGGCAACATTGAGAGAACTTTATTTCAATAATATCAGTGTTTTTCTGGTTGATAGAATGGCAAGTTAAGGGAACTTTTATTCCTTATTATTTTGCTGACATTCTGTATCGACAACATCTAATATCATGGAATTTTTTTTTAACAATAATGTCTTTCATCATCTGCTTGAGTTTCAATGGCCACTCACGTTTCTCACAGGCGCTGCCCATGTATCCTGGCCGACACTTGCACTCCCCGGTCACGTGATAACAAGGCTGCTCTTCCCCACACTCACATACCTCCTTGCAGTGGTTGCCATAGGAACCAGGTGTACAGGCTAAATATCACAAAAACACATGTAAAAGATGAATCTTACTCAATCAAGAACAAATACTATTGTCTCTTCTGTAAATACCTAGTTTTTACATTCGCACATAAAAAGGTGTTCATTCCCTTTCTTTTGTGTTGTCAAATATTGGAGTTGATGTAAGGGAGATAACTACCAGCTGGAAGATATCATCGAGTGAGTATGGTTTTATGTCACGTTTAGCAATATTCCAGCAATATCACAGTGGGGGACACCAGAATTGGGCTTCACATTGTACCCATGTGGGGAATCGAACCTGTGACGTGACGACCGGATGCTTTAGCCACTAGGCTACCCCACTGCCCCCTGGATGATATCAACATTGTATCCAACACAGTATATGTAAAAACACATGCAAGTTACATAAAACTATAATTTAATGACTAGCTATATCAGTTTTCTTCTGTATACTGGGTACCCGGCAGACTTACGCTTGTCACACGTGCGTCCGATCCAGCCCAGACCACACTGGCACATCCCTGTGACTGGGTCACACACAGCATCGTTCTCACACTCACAACTCATCGAGCAGCCCTCACCGAAGAAGCCCTCCTGGCATGCTGCAAGGTCAAGGTCATTGTGTAGCAATGGAGGGTTGTACCCTGCCCTGATAACGGACAATGATACAGAGTAATTATAAGTCTAATTGATGAATTCATGTTTTGGCTTGCATTCAAGACCACAAGGATTGTCTTTTGCCTTCAGTCAGCAACGGTCCTGGCAAATTTTGGGGTCATCAGTTTTTATTTGTGTAAAAGACGCAATAAAGCATGTCCAGATACCACCCTGAAAATGTTCTTCTTAACACGTAAATATATTTTTTCGTGAACTCAAATAAACTTTTTTTATATATCGAGAAAGAAACAAGAAACATAAGAAGCCTGTGATGTTTGTTACAAGTGAGTGAGTTAATATTAAACGTCACATCGGCAATGTTTCAGCCATATCGTGGCGATGTTGTTTACAAGATTTAGAGGTACTGTTTACTTACTTTCATTACACTTAGCCCCGATAAATCCAGGCTCACATTTACATTTCCCACTGAACCTGTTGCATGTCTTGCTGTTGAGGCAGTCACAGGGAAGCTCACAGTTGGGGCCGTGGAAGCCCTGGTCACATGCTGGAAGTAGAGCATCATGGGATAGAGTCATGACAAAATCATGAAGGTGACAGATCTGTTTATGTGTCTATTTACTGTTGCACCCTGCAATATTTCAGCCATTTGGCAGTGCAATGTAAATAATCAAGTATAGACCAGACAATCCAGTGATTGATATTATGGTCATTCCTTTGGTATATGATGAAACACAAACAACCAAGTTTCTGAGTCTGACTATCAAAACGATTTCATTGCTGGGGACCTAAATTCCTAGAATCCCTACAGGTGGACTGAGACGATACTGAGGAGAAATAGTCATGTGACAGAATTATGGTCATGTGACTGCTTCACTAGAATGCAGTGTGCCCGATATTATCATCATGGTGTGTTCATCTGCACGAAACACTTCCTTAGCAACGGATAATTTATTTTCAAAAGCCATCTTTTCCCCCTATTTTACACAGTTTGGAGTGAGTGAGTGAGTTAAATTTAACGTCACCTCGGCAATATTTCAGCCATATAGTAACTACACAGTTTGGAAAGGAACATGAGGTTATTATTCAGATTTGGCCATTTACTTGTATGTTTGCTCCTGCATATGTATACACAGAATACTGACAAATTTTATGGATAACAACTTCTTTTATTTTGTGAGTGTAACACTTCGATACAGATTCTTGTACCGTTGTCAAGCAGGAACGTAACGAAAACATATCGGAATATCTTATCCTGAAACAAAAAGAAGCTGCTGTCCATAAACTTTGTCAATATTTTACTTCCCAACTTCTGATATGCCAAAGATGTATACATAAAGTCATGAGACCTAAGCAAATATGGCTGGCAAGTGGCTCCTTGTTACAGAGTATTGGCTTCTTCAGTTGACACAATAGACAGACTCTTACCTCTCTCACAGGCAGTTCCGGTCCACCCATCAGGACAATTGCACTTGCCGTCGATGTGGTTGCACGTCCCCTCATGTAAACAGAAGCAGCGCAGCATGCAGTTCTCGCCATACATGCCCTCGGGACAGGCTGCAGGAGAAATATATCGTAGTTATACATCACAGACTCTTCCTACTTCATTTGAAGGGAAAACTACTGCAAACCACGATGTCATTGATCTTCACATGGAATATTGACATGGACAGGAACATTCATCACACAATGGACAGTGATGTTGATCTGATAAACAATCTGAAAAGCTTGGCAAGATGATCTGGTATTGGAAAAATAAAATCAAGCAGGCTCCACAGCTTGGATTAGAATACCACAAGAATGAGTTGTGTATTAGTAGCTTATTATATAGTCAGTCATTCTTCAAGGATATGATAAGGATCTCACGGATCATGATTGAGTGTCTGCCTTGAACCCAGGTCAGCAATCCCCAACAACTATCTATTTAGACATGCTCTCATTGACCTTGAAATTGAGAAACATGATGGGGTCAGAATATTGATCACATAATGGACAGTGATATCGATAAACCAGTTCAGAGATATAATGATCTAATCAAAATGTGGTCAACCAGTAAGAACATCTTTTTTAATGCAATGTCTGCTCAATAAACATGGACAAAAACTTGACTAAATTCAGAAACTGATGTCTGAATGATCCTGTCAATAAACATGGATGTAATTTGACGCTATCTGATAAATATAACAGATCATTCAAACTAACTCCAGAATTATTTCATTGAGTGACTAAAACTCTTAAACAGTGATCATTTTCAGTAAAACATTTTATGAGAAAGATATCTTTGCCTTTGTGTGCTTCTGTATTTAAATTATTTTGTATTGTCCTAAGTGTGTGAATCTCACACATCCTACTGTTGCTGTTGAAGTATATTATATGACATTTGTATAGCGCGCTAATATCCAGCTCCGCTCAGCTGCTCAAACGCGCTTGTTTTTCCTTCGATCATTGGATGTCAATTTCAAAGGCACATAATATTTTTCAATCTCAACTCCCTGGGGATCATACAACTCTTGCAGCCATTTAGGCACACCAAGTTAATGTGGCTTTCCTATCCTTACGAGGTACCCATTCACAGCTGGGTGGACTGGGATACATAGTCACAGTACTTTGTCCAAGTTTACTGCATGTCGCTGTACCAGCAACAAGGTGTTTGCACATATTCACGTGGCCACCATCTGGTCATTTACCAACGAAATCGTGGATTCCTTTAAGTGCACAGGGTTGTGTACTGTACACTAGGGGTTGTGACAACACTGAAAGAGTCTGCACACAAAATTGACTCCAAGGTTTTTACACGCGGTGGCGCCTTAGATTGCTCAACCACCGTGCGACAGGGGTGAGGGGACAACAGATACAAAATCTCATATCTACTGGCCAGTCATTGTTTAAGTGAGTTGATTGTCAACAAAAGCCTAATGTCTACCGACTAATCATGTTTGAAGTGAACGAACAGTAAATTCCAGTCTCACATCTACCAACCAATCAGTGTAAACCAATAAATCACAAACCTTCTTCACATCGGGCACCCTTCCATCCCGGCCTACACTGACAAGTCCCGGGAAACAGGGTCACATGGAGCTCCATTATCACAGCTACAATGTTGGTCACAGTTGGGTCCGAACATCCCAAATGGACAAGGCTGGTCGCACTCGCCTCCGTTGAAGCCAGCTGCACATGCACAGTGTCCGGTCACGTGATCACACTCCGTACTGCGGGGACAGTTACAGATGCTCTGACATTCCTGCCCGAAGAATCCCTCCGGACAAGCCTTCCCACAAAACCTCCCACGCCACCCAGCAGAGCAGAAGCACACACCGGAGATGTGATCACATGAGGCACCATTCAGACAGCGACATCGTTCAAGACAACCAGCACCGTAGGTACCAGTTGGGCACTCTGAAACATGATGTCACATAAAAGAATCGCCATCGAGTCACTGGGACATCAGCATATTAAACATTTAATCAGATTTCACTACATTGGTACACACTTTCAAACACAGATAAACTGGGGCACTAAGGGCATATATTCAACATACTATTATTGCCTATGGTTACTACGGGCAGATAATACACACTTCTGCACATTAATATACAGAAGAATTTAGGGACAACATAGCATGGAACATGAGGATTTGTAATTTGACCCTGTTGACTCAAAAGAACAAAAGATGAAAATTTTACATAAAACATGGAAGTATCATAAGAAAGTGGCATCAAATTTGATACATTTTCACATAATGGTGTGACTGAAATAGGGAGTGATAGACAGGATCTTGACAGAAGTTCTCTTACTCTCATCGCACCCAACACCTTTCCATCCAGGGGTACAGAGGCACTCCCCAGTCTCTGGGTCACATTCAGCACTGTTCCGACAGTAGCACTTCCGGAAGCAGTTTTCTCCGAACGTGCCGGGGGGACAGGCTGATCGGGTAAGAACACATGCATTACAATCACAGGACTGAGATTATCATGCAGGCGAGTACACAGCGTGACTGAAGGTCATACGAGTCTATTTTCAAAAGGGTCATTACATACATAGGTAATTACAATCAAGGTCATTCTAGGTCACTTTCAATAGGGTCATTGCAGAAAAGGTCACTGCATCAAAGGTCAATATGATATATATAGGTAGTTACAATCAAGGTCATTCAAGGTCAGTGCAAAAGACATTACATATACAGGTCATTTCAGTCAAGGTCATTCTGAGTTATTTCAATAAAAGCTTAGAGATATAAGCAATTAAGATCAAGATAATTCTAAGCAAGTATGAATAAGGTCACAAATCGATTAATTTTGAGTTCATTCATTAGGTGAAACAACTGAGGTCATTCAAAGTCATCATAAATAAGCTCACTGTATATAAACATCATTTCAATTATACATGTAATAATAAAGAGATATAACCAGGTCAGATGTAGATCATTAAATACACTGAGGAAACAATCTGTACTGAGGAAACATCACCAGATATATAAAGTCACATGGCTCTTCTTCATCGGAAGCAGTACAGGCACAGAGAAACATCAACCACCATATCTCAAATAGTCCTTTAAGAAGCTAGAACTTCATGGTTCTGATAGATTCTGTCATCATCCAGGTGTTCAGTTTTTGTTACATATACCCACCATGATATTGCTGGAATAATGCTAAAAGTGGAGTAAAACTTAACTCACTCACTCCATGTAAGTGAGTGAGTGGGTTTGGTTTTAAGCTGCACTCAGCAATATTCCAGCCTTATGGTGACGCCATGTGAGCATCAACAGAGTTGTCTCTGAACACTGATAATGTATTGGAATGGTCAACCAGGTTTCACGGCAAATATCAGGATGTAATGATAGCAGTGAAGGAGGATGGGAGTAAGATGTCATGATGGGAGCATGTTCAAACCTCTGTCACAGATCTGTCCAGTCCATCCTGGTTTACACGTGCATCGCCCATCCTCCGAATCACAGGTGCCGTTGTTCTCGCACATGCATCGACTCATGCACTGGTCTCCAAATCGGCCTTTAGGACACCCTGCATATAAAACACATAGATGATGATTGACAGATTTGTATAATTCATGCACACAGCAGTGTTTCATGTATAGCTCATGGACACCATGGTCTTGGTGTTACGTGTTGATTTCATACCAGATGAGTATCTGAGTCTTCAGTCAACCTCAAGGTGTAAGATATTGAAGTCACAATGCTATTACTTCTGTCTCAATGGTATTAGACATGCGGACAGCTGAGTCATCACACTGTAGGCAGTTTCTATCAATTCATATTGTAAAGTAATAAACAGAATACTAAACTCACTTCTGTGTAATACCATTTTTATTAAGCACGTGAAAGATTTGGTATCAAACGAATTTGTTTAATAAAAATGGTATTACACGGAAGGTTGCTTAATATCCTGGGCCTAGATTTTGAAGCTTTTTAGCTCCTGATATATAAACATGCCATACATTAACATTAACTTACAACTATCTCAGCTGTATGATGGTGGTCTGTAATCTGAGTCCTACGACCATTACAAACATGTTGTTTTAAGATGCACTCAGCATCATTCTAATTGTAATGCGATGGTAGTCATGTAAATAATTGAGTCTATTACCAGACAATGCAGTGAACTTTATATCATCAGCATCAATCTATGAAGTGTATAGGCAATATAATGACATGATTGACCACCTGATTCTATATAGTCACACCATTACAACAAGCATGGTTTAAGACTTAAACTGACTGAGTTTGGTTTTTCATATTTTCATGAATTATAGGCAATCACGCACACATTAATGTTTGCAATTTTAAACACTACATGCTATATGAAAAAGCCAACATTAAAAACTTCATATGCACACAAATAATTAAGATATGGTTGTTATATTAAAGACATTTAAATTTAAAGGTAATATTATCCCGCATTCCCTCAAAATGAAATTGATATGTTTTTCCTTTAGAAATCTGCCATTTGTTGTTTTGTGTTGAACACAAAATGTAACACAGGCATTGTGAGGATTTTGTCAAATATAATTTCAGGAAAAAATTTGCTTCAATACTATGTAACTATATATAGCGACACACGAAACCATCCAACAGTTGACAAACCAGGGTCTTAATCCACAAAGCAATCGTAGCGCTACGACATTTGTAGGTCTATGATAAACTATACGCTTTGCGGATCGGAACCCTGTAAAATAAATGCTACTGAAGCATTCTGTTTCAATGGCAGCAATTGCTCATAGTATAGAGTTGATGTTACCTTCGCGACAGTGAGGTCCGTACCAGCCAGCGCGGCAGATGCACTCGCCCGACACAGTGTCACAGGTGGCGCCGTTCTCGCAGCTGCACTTTTTGCCACAGTTGATGCCCCAGCTTCCATCTGGGCATGCTGAAAACAGGCAGAACATACAGTCACACAAGTGCACACACAGGAACATAGTGCAATGATGTATGGTGAGGTAACTATTGTAAGGCGTGTAGTACATCGACTTACCATAATCGCAAGTACTCCTTTATGTGAAGCTACGTCAGGGCCCCGTTCCTCAAAGCGATCGTAGCGCTACGACAGTCGTAAGCCTATGTTAAAGTATGGGAGTTACAATCATCTTAGCTCTATGATCGCTTTGAGGAACGGGGCCCTGGTCTACTTCAAGGTTTCTACCATGACCTTTATAAGTGGTCTAGTTCTATTGTTAATCTACACACAAAGCTAAGTCATACTATGATTGCAGTGCATCAACAAATAAATTACTGACGTTCAGTACAATTATGCCACACATGCCCGTTCTGTTCTCAGCCAATCAGGAACACTAGTAGGAACTTATTTGTTTTTGGTTTTTGGAGACAGAACTAAAAAACAACTGCTTTGTTAGTCAATATCTGCCATGGCTGACTGACTGACTGAGTTTGGTTTTACGCCGCTTTTAGCAACATTCCAGCAACATCACGGCGGGGGACACCAGAAATGGGCTTCAAACATTGTACCCATGTGGGGATTCGAACCCGGGTTTTCGGCGTGAAGAGCCAACGCTTAACCACTAGGCTACCCCACCGCCCCTATCTGCCATGGAATAACTTAGATTTTTTTCACAATGTATCGTTACGATGTTTGTGTATGCCTGATTTTCAGCATTGACAAATAATGGTCAGACATTATATTAATGTGGTGCCAAACGTATCATCCAGGTGAGTGAACATGGCAGAATCATAACTATTCCAGAAAAGAAATAACTTTGTTAACACACCATTGTACCTATTGACCCCCCACATCATCGTATCTGGTGGATTAGTATCAAACGCAAAAAATTAATATTCACACTAGTTAACTAAACTAAAGATGTCTGGTCTAGTGTGTTTGAGAGCAGCTATTCTACACTGCTGCTAGAAACTAGAAGACAGTTGTCATGCTTGGATACATGCTGAGTGAAAGGGGTACACCACAGTCAGGTGAGACATGAGGAAAAGAGGGTGCTACATCTCATGGGTATTTGATCACTGTGGCCTGGACCACCACACAGAGACATCATGGGGTGGAGACATCCTTGGGTATTTGGGACCTACTGTGTCCTGGACCACCACATAGAGACATTGTGGGGTTGAGACATCATAAGGTATTTGGGACCTACTGTGGCCTGGACCACCACACAGAGACATCGTGGGGTGGAGACATCCTTGGGTATTTGGGACCTACTGTGGCCTGGACCACCACACAGAGACATCGTAGGGTGGAGACATCCTTGGGTATTTGGGACCTACTGTGTCCTGGACCACCACACAGAGACATCGTGGGGTGGAAGACATCCTTGGGTATTTGGGACCTACTGTGGCCTGGACCACCACACAGAGACATCGTGGGGTGGAGACATCCTTGGGTATTTGGGACCTACTGTGGCCTGGACCACCACACAGAGACATCGGGGGTGGAGACATCCTTGGGTATTTGGGACCTACTGTGGCCTGGACCACCACACAGAGACATCATGGGGTGGAGACATCCTTGATTTGGGACATCCTGGACCACCACACAGAGACATCATCGGGTGGGAGACATCCTTGGGATTTGGGACCTACTGTGGCCTGGACCACCACACAGAGACATCGTGGGGTGGAGACATCCTTGGGTGGAGACATCCTTGGACATCGTGGGGTGGAGACATCCTTGGGACCTGGGACTGTGTGTCCTGGACCACCACACAGACATCGAGAAACATCGTGGGACCTACTGTGGAGACATCCTTGGGTATTTGGGACCTACTGTGTCCTGGACCACCACACAGAGACATCGTAGGGTGGAGACATCCTTGGGTATTTGGGACCTACTGTGTCCTGGACCACCACACAGAGACATCGGGGTGGAGACATCCTTGGTACTGTGCCTGGACCACCACACAGGACCACCACATCCTTGGATTTGGGACATCGGGTGTCCTGGGTGGAGACATCCTTGGGTATTTGGGACCTACTGTGGTCCTGGACCACCACACAGAGACATCGTGAGGTGGAGACATCCTTGGGTATTTGGGACCTACTGTGTCCTGGACCACCACACAGAGACATTTGGGTGGAGACATACTGTGTCCTTGGACCACTGTGGCCTGGACCACCACACAGAGACATCGGGGGTGGAGACATCCTTGGGTATTTGGGACCTACTGTGGCCTGGACCACCACACAGAGACATCATGGGGTGGAGACATCCTTGGGTATTTGGGACCTACCATGTGTCCTGGACCACCACACAGAGACATCGTGGGGTGGAGACATCCTTGGGTATTTGGGACCTACTGTGTCCTGGACCACCACACACATCGTGGGGTGAGACATCCTTGGTATGGGACCCACTTGGTCCTGAGACATGGAGAACATCCTTGGGTATTTGGGATCCTTGGGTATTTGGGACTTACTCTGACCTCTACAGGGAAACAAGCAATCAGCGCTGGGGACCAATCCTTCCCTATTCATATTCTGTCTGAGTAAAAATCTCTGCTTTGAATCCCCACAGGGAGACCAACACGCATTATTGGAGTAATGGGATGAGGACAAAATTATTCATCACTACCCATTATTTCACAATATTTTGAACAAGACCCACTCCCTGTTCTCATTTCATATCAGCCTCCATGTGTAACTCACGTTCTTGGCATTTCTTGCCCGTTTTACCAGCCTTGCACGAACACACGCCAGTCTCGGGGTCACACAGACTGCCCCCGCAGTCACACGCCAGCAAACAGTTCTCCCCATGTTTGCCTGCAGGACATGCTGCAAGCGGGAACAGAGCATGCCAGGAAAAGAAAGGGGGGATAACTCTAAATGGATCAGATCTAAGAGCACTGTCAGTTGGAGTTATTGCACTTGAGACATGATGTGTACACTGTCACAATACTTGACTGTGGTCCTGCTACTGAGAATAAAAGTGTTAATAACTTTTATGTGTTCACTCAGCCAAAATCTGTCTATACTGGTTGCCATTGGGTGACATGTCTTAAGAATTTGCAGCACAATGCTTTTGCTTTTCAGACCATTGTGAAGCCATCAATCAAATGACATTACAAATCTCTGTCACTGAAGCTGTTTAGCTGTACACAAGACACTGGTGAATTACTGTTTACAAACTGAACAAGTTGGAGGGGTATTAAGTATGATAAATAGGATCTCAGCCTCTTTTAACTTCTGTTGATTTCAGTTGATATATTTGTTAGTGATGTTTTGCTAGTTTGTTTTTGTTGTTTAGTCGGCAATATTCCAGCTGTATGGTGGCAGATTTTTACTAGCTACAGCCAGCTAAGTCTCATGATGCATACAACTACACACTCAAACTGACAGTGAGAAATAAATATGGTAAAACAAAAGAAAACTGAAGATGAAGAAGAGAGGTAAAAAATTTAACTACAGTAAGCTTTAGTTTGAGAATGCATGCTTTAGGATACTAGAGTCACAGATGTAACTAGTCAGAGGGAACTTGTGTGCACCTCTGGTGTTAATGTGTTGTCAAAGGTGTCTGTGATTAAGCAAGTTACCACTTCTATTCACTGTATTCAATTCCAAATGCTTTCTGATTTATTAAATGTGCAAACAAATACCCTCTGTAAATCTTCCATAAGACGTTTAGCCACAAGAAAAGAAATAAATCAGGAAAATATTTCTTTTTAAAATATATATATTAAAATTCACAATATGTTGATTATTATTATTATTATTATTATTATTGAAAACAACAAAAAATAATATCCTATAATATTTCAATCTGTGAATACTTGCTACCAACAGTATATCACACAACAGAAATCACATAAAGGCATACAGTAGATGAATTCAATACGTGTCAATAAAATCCTGTATTAAAGACACAATTTGTATAATGAATGTAACAATGGCAAACTGTATGTGTGTACTCACGTTCATCACAGCGCTGGCCAAACCATCCGGAGGGGCAGTCTCGCAGACAGTAGCCAGTCACGTGGTTGCACTTAGTGTCCGCAGGGCAGTCACACTTCTTACTGCAACTAGGTCCATAACGGTCTTGTGGGCACTGGAAGTCACATCTGTCCCCATGGTAGCCAGGCTTACAGTAGCAGTCGCCAGTCTGTGGATGAGGAGGCGTTACGGATAATTATACAATAGAGTTATTTTGATTGGTTTGGTGAGTACAAGTGGTAAAAGTGTTTGCTCGTCTTGACAAAGACGCAAGTTCGATTCCGCTACTGGGTATGTAATGTGAGAAGCCCATTTCTGGTGTTCCCCACTGTGATATTGCTAAAAATGGTAAAACCACTCACTCACTCATGCTCTTTATTTGGTTTTGCCTGAGTAATTTCAGGATGACATGACGTACCTCTGGGTCACACTTCTTGGTGTTCTCAGTGTTGCAGTTACACTGCTCCACACAGTTGGATCCCCAGGTGAAAGAAGGGCAGGGCTGGTTGCAGGCGGGACCGTACGTGCCAGGGTCGCACTCGCAGTAGCCAAATACGCGGTTGCAGTAGCCGTTGGTGCAGGGCTTGGGGCACATCTTGTCACATCTTTCACCGAAGTATCCTGGTGGGCAGCCATCTTCGCATCGGTCACCAGCGACCCCTGGTGGACAGAGGCACTTGCCTGTCACATGGTCACAGGTGCCGCTGTTCTCGCAGGTACACATCCTGTTGCAGCCATCGCCATAGTTACCCTGGAAATATATCAGTGATGCAGGAAGAGTTCCAATGATCCTGATTTTAAAACATTTTTGATACTATAAGTACTATAATCAATGCAACTAAATGACACTGTAGTTCACATGGACATGTAGCCCGACCTCTGTAGGATGCGGATACTTCTGTACCACCTACCTCTAGAAAAGACTTGTTACAGGTAATTTTATACCTTCATACCACCTTCCTCTAGAAAAGACTTGTTACAGGTAATTTTATACCTTTGTACCACCAAACTCTGGACAAGTCTTGTAACAGGTAATTTTATACCTTTGTACCACCTTCCTCTAGAAAAGACTTGTTACAGGTAATTTTATACCTTTGCACCACCTAACTCTGGACAAGTCTTGTAACAGGTAATTTTATACCTTTGTACCACCTTCCTCTAGAAAAGACTTGTTACAGGTAATTTTATCCCTTTGTACCACCTAACTCTGGACAAGTCTTGTAACAGGTAATTTTATACCTCTCTACCACCTACCTCTTATTACAGGTAATAACATTTTCCCTATACTACCATCCTAATTCTATACCTTTGTACTACCTACCCCAAACTTGACACAGGTAGTTGTATACATCTCTTCTACCTACCTCTGGACAAGACTCATTACAGGTGACTCCGATCCATCCTGCCGTGCACACACAGCCATCTTGTTTGTCGCTGCACTTGGCACCGTTCAGGCAGTTACTGCAGGTGAGGAGGCAGTCGGCACCAAAGGATCCTGGGATACATGCTGGAGGGGAAAAACATTCAGGTGAGTGTGAGGAAGTATATCAGTTCCTGCAATAACCTGATCTGCTTGTGAATCATTTCTACAACTCATATATGATACACCAGGACACCGCAAACAAAATAATTAAGAAAATCAATACTGTGAACAAAAGTATTTGAGTCAACCAAATTACAACTGATATGAAATTGATATTTAAAAAAGCAAATTCAAATTAACTGGATACCTAATTCTCTGACTCAAGGTAAACAATTATCCTGTTCTCAAAACTTCTCTTTTAATGATCATTTAGAAAACAGTTCATCAAATAAAATATTACTTAAAGAAAAGATTGAATGGTGATAGAAAAGCTGTTTCAATAAAACTATCCCCAATGTCTGTCATTGCTCTGCAAACCTGTATGTTATATATAATGATCAGGTCACCGTAGAATGCATAACAGCTTGAACCAAACAAGTAATTCCTATCACTATTCAGTTACTACAGTATATGTTAAAAGTTTCCTGAAATTGCTTTCACAACAAAATATGAAAATAAATTATTAAATTAAATTGTTAAATAAATACAGTTTGTTGTGCTTGTGTACCCTGATACAGTTGTTACCAATGTAGTACACATATGTTAAATATAAACAATTGTTGGATTATGGTTTGACAGAGGGATTACCCGAAGTGTAGCAGAACATTAAAGCAAACAGGGGACATCACTCTGGATGTCTCTCCTGTGACAATGAAGCAAGTTGAGAAAACACATGGAACATGAGAATATACAGCCTGGCGGACAGTAGACATTAGACACCTGCTGGACTCAACAAGACAGGTGGGCTTATACAGGACACCTGCAGGTGTTCAGACAGGACACCAGGCTCACAGGACACAGGACACATGATACAAAGTGGGCTTTATACAACTGGGCACGATAGACGGGCTTATGACAGGACACCAAATAGGGTAAGTACAGGTCTACGGGTTGTCTCATGGAGGTTTGCAGTAGGCATATACTTGTGTCTCATAGAGGTTCGCAGTGGGCATATACTGGTGTCTCATGGAGGTTCGCAGTAGGCATATACTTGTGTCTCATAGAGGTTCGCAGTGGGCATATACTGGTGTCTCATGGAGGTTCGCAGTGGGCATATACTGGTGTCTCATGGAGGTTCGCAGTGGGCATATACTGGTGTCTCATGGAGGTTCGCAGTGGGCATTTACTGGTGTCTCATGGAGGTTCGCAGTGGGCATATACTGGTGTCTCATGGAGGTTCGCAGTGGGCATATACTGGTGTCTCATGGAGGTTCGCAGTGGGCATATACTGGTGTCTCATGGAGGTTCGCAGTGGGCATATACTGGTGTCTCATAGAGGTGGAGTTATAATAGGACACCAGAAAACTTAATATAGTTCTGTGGGTGAGCATATAACAGGACGAACCTGATACTGATCAGTGGGTGGGCATATAACAGGACAAACTTGATACTGATCAGTGGGTGGGCATATAACAGGACAAACCTGATACTGGTCAGTGGGTGGGCATATAACAGGACAAACCTGATACTGATCAATGGGTGGGCATATAACAGGACAACCTTGATACAGATCAGTGGGTGGGCATATAACAGGACAAACCTGATACTGGTCAGTGGGTGGGCATATAACAGGACAAACCTGATACTGATCAATGGGTGGGCATATAACAGGACAACCTTGATACAGATCAGTGGGGGGCATATAACAGGACAAACCTGATACTGATCAGTGGGTGGGCATATAACAGGACAAACTTGATACTGATCAGTGGGTGGGCATATAATGGGACAACCTTGATACTGATCAGTGGGTGGGCATATAACAGGATAAGTGATGCTAGGAGAGTAGATTACATACAAAATGTTTAGTCTAGCATCTATCTCTGGAGACATAAAGAAGACTTCTAAAAAGGTAACAAGTCTACTGAGTAACTGTTTTATCTGAAAACAATATACATCACTTCTTACAGGCGTCACGATACTGGGGATCTATGCTTATGAAGTATAATCAGCATTGCAGGAAACACTCATAAAATCTCTCTGGTGACACTGAGCCCTGAAGGAGCAATACTTATCCACAGTGATCAAGAACTATCACAAGGCAAGACCAATTATATTTCCTTGTTTTGCAAACAAACCCATCACAGCTATCAAATTGCTGTGTCAGCATATTTATGTTTGAACTTCTAAGATCTTTTTCAAGAAATGAATTTAAAATCAAACCTGGTGTATTTGCCTCATCCCTCTTACACTGATCAAGGATATAATTAAACAGCCCAGAAATACATTGGTCTAGCCTAATGAAGCAAGTCTACATCCAAGTTGTAGGATCCTGATGAGGGACTAAGTCTATTAGGATGTGCTCCTGGAATAAAGAGTTAGCCCTGTATGACCTGCGGCAACAGAGCTGGAGGGAGAGCTTCCTAGCACACATAGATGCTGAAGTATGACAGTTGACATCGGCGTACAGAGAGTGTACACATGACTCTACAGAGACAATGTAGAACAAATAATGGTGACAACAGCGCTAAACTATGCATGCAGTGCCAGGGGTATCAGGTCGCGCCGACCTCCTATATACTCACACTTGTCCACAGCTGCGCAATGAGGGAATAAAATACCAACATCAAAACCATGACATCCAGAGACGGTTAGTCTGTCACTACCACCCCAGCTTCAGCTCATTGAGAGTGGTTATTGTGATATACATCACCTTACTACTGGTTAGAGCTCAACACAGAAGGATATATATCACAACTCCACCGGTTAGAGTCCACCACTGCAGTGGTAAAATGTATCTGTACCTCTCTGTAGAGGTTGTACAGATGCAGATAACCACTGCAGACATGCCTACAGATATACGTCGTACTCTAGAGGGGATACAGACAAATATACCACTGCTGCAGATAGACAATATGGATATACAACACCAATATACAGTGTCAATACGGATATACTAACACTTGACATGGGCAATACAGGCATATAGCACCACTATAAGCAGCAATACAGATATATACCATAGTTCTAGAATGGAAGATGGATATAAACCATGGCACCAACAGCTCCTGCTTAAGTTACACTGACCACTGTCATAGACAGAATGGTATGGAAGTCTACTGGGAATATATAGAGATGTCACTTCAGCAACTATTTGTATATGAAGATAGTCATGGTATCTGACTGTCAGATTAACCCCGAAAAAATAGTCAAAACATATTTACAAATTCTATACTGATGCTCAAAGCATAAGTTAATGAATAAACATCATAACTTTTCAAGATTTCTGAAACAACTATTGATAGTAACCACATATCCTGAAATTGTTCCACCCAGATCTTTTCTAAATGGTAATACTGATCTTGAAGCTTTGGAAAAATATGCCTAATGCTACACGTTACCATTACATTGTGATAGGATTCTGATAATTTAAGGCCATTCTGACTGTATATAGATGTTAGTCCTGTACCAGTTAGCATGTGCCTTTCTGTTGTTAGTACCTGTACCGGTGCCTTGAGCATGTACTAGTTGTGTGGATATGTGTGCTGTATAAATATCCCATAATAATAATGTGCCAGTATTGGAGATGTATGAAGTGTGAACCACAGTGTGTGTGACAGCTGATGACTAAATGTGTGTACCCTTTATGACACTTAACACTATATCACAGAGTGTGATAATCTGTCTCACAGCCCTTGCATGGTATAATGTTCCCTTCAACCCACTCTCTGTGCAATGCCAAAGCTCTAAATGAAGCAAGTCTAGATTTCCTCAGGTTCAGGTTCTGAATCTCCCATCTCACCGGGGCTCCTTTTCAATTTTAAAGAAATGATGTGTTTCTATCAAAAAATTATGTTCAAAGACTAAGTGTTACTGTAGATGTGTGACTGTGAAAGGTATGTCTAGACAGTGATGTAGACTAAAAAACTATTGAGTATCAGAATTTATCTGAGTTTGTCAAATTAAGCCAAGAAATGTGAGAAAGTGCCCCTCCAACATGTGAGTACTGCAGCATCAAATGTCATATTTCTCACCAGAGACGAATCCAGATGTTAATACATTTTAACATGCTGAATAAGATATTTTCCAGCTTAAGTTGCACTTTTTTGATATAACCAGTTCCTGATCAGCTATGCCCTGTGAAGATGTTGCAATGTTTGCAAGCCTGGAGAGACACATTGGTACAAATGTGATTTTAAGTTGGATTGGTTTACAAACTATACATTATATATCTTTGTATTTCTCTTGAGGTGAGTGGTGAGTAACATGAACATTGTTACACAGTGTAAGTGATATAGCGTTATACACAGGTGCCCCTGGTATGAAGACGTGACTTACCACTGTTGTCATTGTAGGGGAGATCGGGTGGGGCTAGTCAAACAGATACACATTGCTCATTTGGAAGGGAAACATGTCAACACTGCTCAATTGTTGATAGGAAAAGTAAGATATTAATATAGCACAATTGGTTTGGTACTATATGTAACAATAGTTCGGTCCCGATGTTCAGCAGTACTGTTTATCTCACTAAAGAGATTTCCAGTCACCTCTACTTTCGACGGATGTCCTTACTTACGGAGAGCTTACCAAGGCCTCACTGAAGCCATCCTCTATGATCAAGGGTAATATATCTCCTTTCTATAACTACCTGAGTTTTACTCCGAATTTTGAATGATTCCAGCAATATCACGGCAGGGTACACCAGAAATGGGCTTCACACATTGTACCCATGAGGGAATCGAACCCAGACCTTCAGCATGAACGCTCTAACCAGTAGGCTATCCCACAACTTAAAAGTGTTTGGAAAACACAGTGTTAAAATTTGCTATCCAAACAGATTAGACTTTAAGTGAAATAAAATTGATTAAAAGCGAGGAGATAGGGACAGTGAAGCTATGTTGGTGAATATGCCCTGGGCATATATCAGAACAGAATGGTTTCATTGTACCCTGGATATTGGAGGATGTACTGAGTGCAGAAGAATACCAAGATGAAATAAACACATCTAAGTTTCATTCCAACTGAGTCCAACACAACACCAATCCTGAGAAGATGCATTACCCAGTAGATGCACACAGTTCCCAAACCAAATAGTCGTAGTCTACAAGGTGGGATGGGAATATTTCAGTTATATCACAGCGTGTCAGCTTGATGTGGGATGGTGGGAGGGTATATATTAGTTATATCACAGTGTGTCTGCTAGATGTAGGAACATTTCAGTTAACGGTATTTCACAGCCAGCATTTCAGCATAATGTCACAGTGTTTTGAAATCTATAGGAAAACATTTTTATAATCCATATTCACCCCATCATCAGACCTTCCGGCATCTTACATTGCTCTGCCATGGAATGAATCTATAAGGGATCAAATACCATTTGAAACTTGTGTTTTTGTACTTAAATTGATTTGGAATTGAAACTTCCAATCTACCATACAGTACAAAACAGGTCCAATTCGTAAGACCAATGTACAGGGCGTAGTCTTAATCTAGTCTGGTTTGGGGACTGTGTGCATCTAGTCAATGATATATGGTTTAAGCAAATTTGATACAAAAATAATCACACTCAACGTAAAAGCTGTCATTTACTGCTATGTATCATATGACATCTTTGAAGAAGTACCATCAGGTATTACAAATGCAGAACTGGACATTTTTCATAAAAACAATAATTAACGACTCTGGATTGATTCAAAATTTCACAAATAGTTGACCACATCAGCCACTGCTATTTATAAAATGTTTCAGTTGTACATTTCCACCTATAAAAACTAATCAGAAACTGAATCCAGAAACACTGAACTGAATCTTGTCATGCACGTCACTGCACACGGCACAACAGGAGTCTATGGCCGATATTGAGCATATGATAAGGCCAACACAAGTCAGCACTGCTAGACAAAGCTGGAACGGACTAAAGACTCTGATGACATCAATAGAAAAGTCACAACAGCTCATAGAATAAATACCCAGTTGTTCAAATTTACTTAGCATCAGAGATATCTTTATAGATAACAGCTCTTTCAGAATGGAAAAGTTGTTTTAACATATTTTCCCCCCAACTTTTTATGCATTAATATGAATTAAATGGTTTACTTCAAAACAGGTAGTTTTATTCATATACATTTGTATTTTGAATATGATTGAAGTTTTTCTTCACTTAAGGTTCCAGGTCAGGTGAAATGGCTGACTTGTAGTGACCTTGTCATGCCTACATAAGGGGGGATAACCATGAGAAGACTTACTGTAGCTGGTGGTGGCCTCAGCAAGCTCCTGAGACAAGAGAATGTTGTAGCTGTCGTTAACGGGGATGACGGGGCGTGGTGACGTCTCAAAGCGGGGGAAGGGCAGATCTCCTCGTTGTGGCCCAAGGTCCTCCACACGGACCTGCTTAGCTGGAGAAATAGACAGCAGATCTTGGTAAACCATATGTCTTGTTTCATGGATTGCCTGGATGACAATTGTCACAAATGTAACAAAACCCAGAGAAAACAAACAGTGAGCCCAGCACTTATACTGCACATCAGCGAACACATACAATGAGATCAAACCTTCAGCAAGCCATGCTTGTCGTAACAGTCAACAAACGGGATCGAGTGGTCAGGCTCACTGACTTGTTCCACACATGTCATCATATTCCAAAAGTGTAGATCTATGCTCATGATGTTGACCACTGGATTGTCTTGTCCTGACTCAGTTATTTACAGACCACCACCATATAGCTGGAATATTGCTGAGTGTGGCATTAAACAACAAATAAACACAGGGCCGAATGCAAATGTTGGCCAACTAAGGGAGGGGAACCTACTCCATCAGTACCGTTCATCATCTCACCTCGACATCGCCGCCGATCCCTCTCCAGGTCGAAGCCTTGTTTGCAGGCACAGCTGTAGGAGCCCTCTGAGTTCACGCATAGCTGTTCACAGCCACCATTGTCCGACAGACACTCATCCACATCTGGAACAAACACAAAGATATTCAGTGTGACTTGTAATAACACACATAGGTCAGTAGACAGAGTCCTCATTCACTGCCACATGGGCTGATGTTTGAACCTTGTAGGCTTGTTGACAGTTAGCACTACATGGGCATCTCACTTGATAACATATTTTATCAGCAGAAAGCTCATTCTTGATCAGTTAGTAGGGGTGAAACGGTATACCGTAGTATTAGTAGAACCATGGTATTTTGCCTTCGGTTCGATAAACCGTATTACAATCCAAACAATTCGGTATGTTCAGTTTTCGTACCGTCATTTTACCACCTTTTAAAACTTTTTCTAAAATGTCTTGAAATCGAGTCATTTCATCAAAATCTATGCATTTCTTTGCTAGACAGTCACTATTTCCCTAGAAGTAAGTTCTCAATACCGAAACGAAATGGACCAAACCGAACCAAACCAAAGGCCTTGTACCACAATACGTCCCACACCGTGGTAAGAGCGTACTGTTTCACCCCTATCAGTTAGTGGTCACAACAATATTACACATAGCTCTGATCTTAAGACATATAGTACATACACTAAACCTGCTTCATAGACAACAGCTTGTGAATCTTACCATCTTTGGAATTACATAAAGATTAATGAACATGGGGATTTTACAGCTGACTCTACTAGCCTCAATCCAAGGTGAAGAGTTATGTCCCTTGTACTGTTATCTCCACAACACAACATTGAGCTTAAGAATGTGATTGAAGCACTGATTATTGTAACCCTTGCTCTAATGAAAACAAAAAAGTTGTGAAACCAAGCACCGAAGTAAAGAACTGGCCAAGGACTGAGTATTCGGTTTTAATTCAGGCCTGATGTAACAAAAGGAACATATTTTTTTACAGAGAACATTGTTTCATTATCTCCATCTTATAACCATGTGTAAAGCTGCACTATGAAATACGCTGTGGGTCGAGACCTACAGCAACGAGGGTGAACTGCAACCATGGCAGATCCAGGTCTGTTGCCTCCACCTGATAGTGTTGTGGTCTGACACAGACTGATTGGGTTACAGACGAGCACACTTCCTGGTTTTAACAACTAGTTCTTTCTCTCAGGGTTCACAAGAAAGAGATTCCTCTGGAATGCCAACCATGAGTTTCACCTGGCCTAGAATTCTGTGTTCTGTACGCATGTATTTGTATCCATGGTAACATATCTGTATAACACAAAACCTGCATAACTAACATTTCCACAATTTCCTCATATCTAATAATCACAATAATACTATATCCAGAATCCAATCCAACATACAGCTTGTAGTAGGGTGCACTTAACATACGGTATATCAGGATACAGTTTGTAATGGGGTGCACTTAACATACGGTACATCAGGATACAGCTTGTACTAGGGTGCACTTAACATACAGTACATCAGGATACAGCTTGTAGTAGGGTGCACTTAACATACGGTATATCAGGATACAGCTTGTAGTCGGGTGCACTTAACATACGGTACATCAGGTAACAGCTTGTAGTAGGGTGCACTTAACATACAGTGTATCAGGATACAGCTTTTAGTCGGGTGCACTTAACATACAGTATATCAGGATACAGCTTGTAGTAGGGTGCACTTAACATAAGGTATATCAGGATACAGCGTGTGGTGGGGTGCACTTAACATACGGTATATGAGGAGACAGCTTGTAGTAGGGTGCACTTAACATACGGTATATCAGCATACAGCTTGTAGTGGGGTGCACTTAACATACAGTATATCAGGATACAGCTTGAAGTAGGGTGCACTTAACATACGGTATATCAGGATACAGCTTGTAGTAGGGTGCACTTAACATACAGTATATCAGGATACAGCTTGTAGTAGGGTGCACTTAACATACAGTATATCAGGATAGTTTTTAGTGGGGTACACTTAATATACGGTACATCAGGAAACAGCTTGTAGTAGGGTGCACTTAACATATGGTATAACAGGATACAGCTTGTAGTAGGGTGCACTTAACATACAGTATATCAGGATACAGCTTGTAGTAGGGTGCACGTAACATACGGTATATCAGGATACAGCTTGTAGTAGGGTGCACTTAACATACGGTATATCAGGATACAGTTTGTAGTGGGGTGCACTTAACATGCGGTATATCAGGATACAGCGTGTAGTAGGGTGCACTTAACATACAGTATATCAGGATACAGTTTGTAGTGGGGTGCATTTAACATGCGGTATATCAGGATACAGCGTGTAGTAGGGTGCACTTAACATACAGTATATCAGGATACAGTTTGTAATGGGGTGCACTTAACATACGGTATATCAGGATACAGCGTGTAGGAATCAGCACTTAACATATGGTATATCAGGATACAGCGTGTAGGAGGGTGCACTTAACATACAGCATATCAGGATACAGCTAGTAGTAGGGTGTACTTAACATACGGTATATCAGGATACAGGTTGTAGTAGGTTGCACTTAACATAAGGTATATCAGGATACAGATTGTAGTAGGGTGCACTTAACATACGGTTATATCGGGATACAGCTGTAGTGGGGTGCACTTAACATACGGTATATCAGGATACAGCTTGTAGTAGGGTGCACGTAACATACGGTATATCAGGATACAGCTGTAGTGGGGTGCACTTAACATACGGTTTATCAGGATACAGCTTGTAGTAGGGTGCACGTAACATACGGTATATCAGGATACAGCTTGTAGTGGGGTGCACTTAACATATGGTATATCAGGATACAGTTTGTAGTGGGGTGCACTTAACATACGGTATATCAGGATACAGTTTGTAGTAGGGTGCACTCAACATACAGTATATCAGGATACAGCTTGTAGTAGGGTGCACTTAACATACGGTATATCAGGATACAGTGTGTAGTGGGATGCACTTAACATACAGTATATCAGGATACAGCTTGTAGTAGGGTGCACGTAACATACAGTATATCAGGATACAGCTTGTAGTGGGTGCACTTAAAATATGGTATATCAGGATACAGTTTGTAGTAGGGTGCACTTAACATACGGTATATCAGGATACAGCTGTAGTGGGGTGCACTTAACATACGGTATATCAGGATACAGCTTGTAGTAGGGTGCACTTAACATACGGTATATCAGGATACAGCTTGTAGTAGGGTGCACTTAACATACGGTATATCAGGATACAGTTTGTAGTGGGGTGCACTTAACATACGGTATATCAGGATACAGCGTGTAGTAGGGTGCACTTAACATACAGTATATCAGGATACAGTTTGTAGTGGGGTGCACTTAACATACGGTATATCAGGATACAGTGTGTAGGAATCAGCACTTAACATATGGTATATCAGGATACAGCGTGTAGGAGGGTGCACTTAACATACAGTATATCAGGATACAGCGTGTAGGAGGGTGCACTTAACATACGGTATATCAGGATACAGCTTGTAGTAGGGTGCAGATACACCAGAGCTCTGAGTATTCTGACCACAAACACGAACATTACTTATACTAGTTTGAATTCTCACGGGACTTTGTCACATGTCAACATTCCGATTCACCTGCACTTTTATAATGTCCATTATGCCTCCCTTTCGTAGTATAACTAGGTTGTGATTATCAGGGCAGAGTTGCATCCCTAGGATCGGTCAGAAACCTGTGATTGGGGTTCGAATACTGGTTGACCACGGTTATTATTCTAGGTTTGCCAGTACGAAAGTTGTATGTATGTGGGTTTCACCTTCTGCCCATATTAATGCGTAATCATGTGATGACCCACTAGCGACAGAGGTTGCTAGTGTTAGTCTTGCTCTGTGTAACTGACACATTATATTGACAATTGTGACATCATTGGACAAACTTTAAAAGCTGCATTAAACTCACTTCCTCCATCTGTGTAATACCCTTGCCTCAACAGATAAACCTGTTCAGTGTTATAGCTACATACTCCGTTCACAGCAGCAGCTGTGTATTTTGTGAATAACCCCTGGTTCTAAAGTCCCTGATAGTGTATTCTGGGACATCAGCAATACTGAATGAGTTTCTATTCTGATATAAGTACTGGAAATAAACATCTCAAGTTATCTTAAAACAACAAAGAATGCTAAAAAATATCTCATGAGTGACAGAAGCATATCAGAGTATTTACACCTTTTCACAAGGTCTGTTTCTGGAAAGATGCTGGATCTTCTTATCGAGCAAATACAAGTTCTATAAAACTAAACAAGCCTTCCTTTCACTTCCTGTAGTATTGCCGAATCAGCATGTCTGTGCTGCTGGCCATGATAGCGTTCCTTGGCTAGTGCCGTGCTGCAGAGTTTTCTCTGATGAACTCAGAATCTGTTATCTCCTACAGTGTCAACCCAGAACATGATCTCACAACTGCATAAAACATGTGACACCAATTTGTTAACATGAATATTACTGTGGTGCCATGTTTTTTAGTGTCGGTGCGTAGGGGACAAACACATCACTGTATACACATTAGGAGACACAAATTTGGTTCAAGACGACTTTTGGAGATAATATTCACAGATTACATTCCAGACTGTGGCAGAGATTCAGGATGTGGGGTTGATGTAGATCTCTGTTGAGGAGGAAGCCGGTCTGACACCATCAGGTGTATACATGTATATATACTCACTGTCACATGTACAACCGTCTCTGTTAAGGAGGAAGCCAGTCTGACAGTATACATGTATATATACTCACCATCACATGTACAACCGTCTCTGTTGAGGAGGAAGCCGGTCTGACACCATCAGGTGTATACATGTATATATACTCACCGTCACATGTACAACCGTCTCTGTTGAGGAGGAAGCCGGTCTGACACCATCAGGTGTATACATGTATATATACTCACCATCACATGTACAACCGTCTCTGTTGAGGAGGAAGCCGGTCTGACACCATCAGGTGTATACATGTATATATACTCACCGTCACATGTACAACCGTCTCTGTTGAGGAGGAAGCTTGTCTGTCAATGGCAGGTGTATACATGTATATATACTCACCGTCACATGTACAACCGTCTCTGTTGAGGAGGAAGCTTGTCTGTCAATGGCAGGTGTATACATGTATATATACTCACCGTCACATGTACAACCGTCTCTGTTGAGGAGGAAGCTTGTCTGTCAATGGCAGGTGTATACATGTATATATACTCACCGTCACATGTACAACCGTCTCTGTTGAGGAGGAAGCCGGTCTGACAACCGCAGGTGTATACATGTATATATACTCACCGTCACATGTACAACCGTCTCTGTTGAGGAGGAAGCTTGTCTGTCAATGGCAGGTGTATACATGTATATATACTCACCGTCACATGTACAACCGTCTCTGTTGAGGAGAGCCGAAGCCGGTTGAGGATAAGCCGTCTGACACCATCAGGTGTATACATGTCTGACAACCGCAGGTGTATACATGTATATATACTCACCGTCACAAGTACAACCGTCTCTGTTGAGGAGGAAGCCGGTCTGACAACCGCAGGTGTATACATGTATATATACTCACCGTCACATGTACAACCGTCTCTGTTGAGGAGGAAGCCGGTCTGACAACCGCAGGTGTATACATGTATATATACTCACCATCACATGTACAACCGTCTCTGTTGAGGAGGAAGCCGGTCTGACAACCGCAGGTGTAGCCACCGGGGTTGTTGTTGCAGGACTGGGTACAGCAGTTGTCTCCTGTCTCACACTCATGAATATCTGAAAATATTTAAACATCCAAACTAAAAATAATGCAACGTTCATCCTGATCAATTACTTGTAATGTCCATATTTACATTCCTATATTCCACTTTAGGAGGGTTCCTTGGGTCTTGGAGGGGCGGTGGGGTAGTCTAGTGGTTATGGCGTTCACTCGTCATGCGGAAGACTGGTTACATGGGTACAATGTATGAAGCCCATATCTGGTGTCCGACATCGTGATATTGTTGGAATATTGCTAAAAGTGGTGTAAAACTAAACTCACTCACTCATGGATGTTGGCCGCTATAGTTTTTTTAAATCTAGGGACTCCCAATCTGCAACTTTTCCCATTTACCTTCATGTTCATTTTGGAAAACTATGGCAATAATATGACACTATACTTGAAAAAGGTAATTCAGCTCAGTCTCATTGAAATCAGGCCTGATATGCCATAAGGCCATCTCAGAACAATCTTTGACTGACCGGTGCATTAGCAAATCCTTTTTGGGCTTTAGATCATTAGTTTCAAAATGGCGTTTTCCACTCCAAACTATGATTTGAAAACAGACTCCTGTTTCCAACAAGTATCCAATATAAGCAAAAGATTCGGAAAAAGTCATACAGTCATTTGAAATGTTCTGTGTTAACCCTTGTGACTAGAAAACACTTTCACTTTCGCAAACTTGCAAGCAACACTCTGATTGGTCCTAAGAACAGTCACTCTATCATGACCTTTCTTTGGGTACTCCGAGGTCTCTGTTTAGCAGTAGTGAACATGAAAGCTGTTATAAGTGAAGATTAAATTGATATTCAGCCCGCTACATATTAGAAACGTCTTTTAAGACATAAAACATATCGAAAAATCATTTTTGAAAAATACAAAAAATTCTTAGATAGGCCTATTTGTTACACTGCTGCAATCACAGAAACATTTTCCTTGCTAAAATAATTCAGTTGACCTCTACTTATTATCGACAATCCCTGTTCCAATTATACTCCTCAAAAAAATTAACAACCACCCAATTGTTAAATATTGCTGTACTTAATCTGTCGTGTCTTTTTTTCAAAATAGTATATTATTTTTGTTTCTTTCATCTCGACCTGTGGGGGTCAATAAAATGAGAAACACATTAACTATGGTCTCTGGCTGTGAAACACTATAAAACTTTTTACACTTAGTTCTAAGGTGACGAAGTCCCGACATTGTCATTATTGAATAAAGCAGTGAACCAGAGCTGACACTGCCGGATGAGTGGGCTTCTTATCAAGGGGTGTTACAACTTTCAACAACTAATCTGTACTTGATCAGACGCTGGGACTGTTTACGGTTCAATACATTGATTACCAGGCAAATGTCAATAGTTGACATCAATACTATACTAGAGCAGCAATTGTTTTGATGTATGTAATAAAACATTAAATATAATCTAACAACCTTGTTTGAAGTGTAAATAACTGATTTCCCTGCAAGCTGCTGAACATAACATGGTGGACATGTTCGGACACGTCATCACCTGGAGGAAGGCAAGGTAGCTTGCATGTGTTAGTTTTCAGCAGGGATACAGCAGTGTAACACTATCGCAATTGGTAGACAGACCTCAAACTTCCACTCTATGAGAGGCATTTACAAGTGATAAACATTAAGGAGAGAATTTACTGTTGTCAACTTCTTGAACACAACACTTCAGAGCATATTATCCTTCATTACGTTATTCTGCACCAACATGGCCACTGCTCCAGTGAGTGAGTGAGTGAGTTTGCCACCGTTTTGAACAGTATATCTGATACATTGATCACAGAGCTTCACTTCACAGTTCGGTAAAGCCTGTTTTGGTTTAATGTGTCAGTTACGGTGGTCAAGCAATATCGCAACTTTTCCATGTTGGTCTGTTGATAATTGACCTTGACCAGACCATGAGCAGTGTGTCTTGCTGTTTTGGTTCAATGACATGTTGCCAACTATATCACTAGACCTGACAATCCAATCCACTAAGATGCATAGGTTCATGGGGGCCTGTTTTATTCTGGAATCCCTATTATGAAATAAAGTTTAGGCTAAGGGGAACCTACTCTAACCCTGAATTATCATAGTGGTCACAGCAATTCAACAGTCATATAGCCATTCAACATTGTATCACCTTCTCAGGACGATGTGATAGCAATGTGGTATTTTTCAAACCATGACCATTTTAAACTGAACAAAAAAGGATACAGTTACCTTCACATGTTTTTCTGTCAGCTTGTAGGTTGTATCCCTTGCGACATGAGCAGATGGCGCCACCGGCACCATGGCGACACTTGTGGGCACAGCCTCCATTGTTGACTGCGCAGTTGTCAATGACTTCCATCTCGATCCCTGCCATGCACACAAGGTACAACGTTGTCAACACTTGCCACATTTCCAATTGTTTACTTTCAAGTGTAATGTTAATCCAGTTCACAGTTATCACAAACTTTGCAAACAAGAGTGGTATATTAACCTTTACAGTTCGATATTCATGCTATACTGAAGATATCTTATGGCGAATAAATCTCTTCAAATACACACATCCTGAATCTGCACTTAATGTGTTAAAATCAGCAGCATTAAATGCACCCACAATGCAGTATTAGTAGTCCATGCACATCCAATCGGCAGTTACATTTGTTGCCAACACAGGCATTCCACATGAAGTTGCCCAGCTAAAGACTGGAATTTTAAGCTTTCAAGTTCAAGAAGTTCTCATCTTATCCAATGATATCAGAATGTCATTATATGTAAGGAATGGGTGGTGACAGTAATGGTGTCCGTACAACTAATCCTGAGTTCTTCACAATGTCTCTGATCCCTACAAGAACCAGTTGCAGTCTGGTCTGATTCTTTTCTAAAGATTAATTATCTGGTATATAGGTTAAATAAAGGTTTTGTCAGCACCCATTTGCCTCACACTTTGCTAATGTTAACCAGACACCTATTCCTGATAAAAAAAATAAAATTAAAGTAAACATCCTGTTCCACTCTCCAAAAGAAAACACATTAAAAGAGCAGACACACATTTCATCCCCACCATAAATTGTATCTTTCAAAGCCAGTTGTCAGACAAGCCATATCAGACATTGTCACTTGAGGCTTAATTTGCAAAGAGGAGCAGCAGGGAAATAGTACAATAGCCTTCCCAAGATGGCTGCCAGGAAGAATGTCAGTTTGACTTGAACCAGATAAGAGATGTCACATTAATGTAGATGCAATGCAGTCTATTAAACCTACAAAAGAAGTTATCAATGAAAGGGAGACATCTGTAACATTAAACCAGTCGTTATGGTACAAGTGTTTATCCAATTTCTACAAAAACAAGAAATTTAATAAGTAAAATTTGGCAGCACAGGAGAGCAGAGACAGAGTTAGACAACATTTATGCTGAAGTGACAGAGGATAAATAACTTGTGGAAATTCCTGAGACACTTCAGTGCACACAAAGATGGTATCTCAACACTCTAATTTTCTTTCTATGGATAGCTAGCTAAGAGGACTATGACTATAGAATTTTAGGGTTGAGAAAAGTGAAAAGGTAGAGTTGGGTGTAAAGTTACTCCAATATCAATATCAATACCACAAATACACCATCCAATCGTGGATCAGCAATATAACACCATCCAATGGTGGATCAGGCATATTACACCAGCCAGTGGTGGATCAGCAATATTACACCAGCCAGTGGTGGATCAGCAATATTACACCAGCCAGTGGTGGATCAGCAATATTACACCAGCCAGTGGTGGATCAGCAATATTACACCAGCTAATGGTGGTACAGCAATATTACACCAGCCAATGGTGGATCAGCAATATTATACCAGCCAATGGTGGATCAGACATATTACACCAGCCAATGGTGGATCAGCCATATTACACCAGCCAATGGTGGATCAGCCATGTTACACCAGCCAATGGTGGATCAGCAATATTATACCAGCCAATGGTGGATCAGATATATTACACCAGCCAATGGTGGATCAGACATATTACATGAGCCAGTGGTCGAACAGCAATATTACTTCCACTTGCCAATTTGGCACAGCAATATTACATCAGCCAATGGTGGAAGAGCCAATGGTGGAACAGCCATGGTGGAACTAACCAATGGTGGATCAGCCATATCATACCAGCCATTGGTGCATCAGACATATTACACCAGCCAATGGTGGATCAGACAAATTCCCCCATCCAATTATGGAACAGCAATATTACACCAACCAATGGTGGAACAGCAATATTACACCAGCCAATGATTGATCAGCCATGTCACACCTGCTAATGGTGGATCAGCCATATATGGCCAAGGGATGCCGCTGTGCTGGCTCTCACAACAAACATGAGGTACAGGAGCCTGTCGTCCTCTGAAGCACATGTAACAGAGCGGTGATAGTTTACAACAACATTACAATATCCATCTACCGTCCATCTACCTTTATCTTTTTGTTTATATCTTTGTTTCCCTTTGCGACTGGATCCTAATAGGTGTGCAGTTAATAAGCAAATATGTAAAATATTATATAAAAATATTTAATCTAGCCTATTAAAGTGAAAACGTTCATGTAAGGTTTTCTTACAAGTGCTTATAATGCAGAGTGGAGGAGGCTTTCTCAAAGAGTTTCATGAGGTTTGGGGAATAAGTGAATTTCCTTGCCTAAAGCAAGGGTGTGACAGTTATCAACTGGATAACTTCTCTTCAAATGTCACACGCTTAGGCAAACATGTTTTTTACATCCAGATGTTTAATAAAAGGGTGTGGCAGCTACAATATCAAGTCAATCTCTACATAATGTGCATGTCATAAAAATAAAAACAACAAATCATGTATGCTCTTGGAATGTTTGGATATTGGCCTGTTAGGCATGATGTAATAACCATCCTTCTTTCAACAGCTGATATTTAGAGTAGCACGCTTCTTGCAAATACAGGAAAAAACACTTCAAAAGTGCCTTAAACTGTAAAACTAACTTGAGGCAATTAACAGTTAATTCTTCAACTAGCGAGCACAGTTCTCACAACTGGCAGGTTCATAAAATTGTACTTATCCCCAGCAGTAATAACCTGTGTATAATTAACGTCGGCATGATTGTAATGGATGGACCCAAAAGGCTGTCACAACAGTTGGAAGCTGAGGGACGGTTGGTCTTACTTTCAACAGTGTGTTGTAAGTTTGTCTCCCCCAGCCAGGTGTGTGTAGGTCTGTCTCCCCCTGCCAGGTGTGTGTATGTCTGTCTCCCCCTGCCGGATGTGTGTAGGTCTGTCTCCCCCTGCCAGGTGTGTGTAGGTCTGTCTCCCCCCACCAGGTGTGTGTATGTCTGTCTCCCCCTGCCAGGTGTGTGTAGGTCTGTCTCCCCCTGCCAGGTGTGTGTAGGTCTGTCTCCCCCTGCCAGGTGTGTGTATGTCTGTCTCCCCCTGCCGGATGTGTGTAGGTCTGTCTCCCCCTGCCAGGTGTGTGTAGGTCTGTCTCCCCCCCACCAGGTGTGTGTATGTCTGTCTCCCCCTGCCAGGTGTGTGTATGTCTGTCTCCCCCTGCCAGGTGTGTGTATGTCTGTCTCCCCCTGCCAGGTGTGTGTAGGTCTGTCTCTCTCTACCAGGTGTGTGTATGTCTGTCTCCTTCTGCCAGCTGTGTAGATCTGTTCCCGCTACCCCTCCCCCTATCAGGTCTGTACCCCCATGGCTCCCACCCCATCCCAAACAATAACATAGGTAATTTTGGCCGAGATGACTTATAAAGACGTCACAGTAAGATATTGGGAAATACTGCTTGCACTCGGCCCATATGTATGTACAGCTAAATGAACATGGCATGGTTAAACATTTGAACAATAATATATCCCAGGCAGTTAATATATACATAACAAAATATTTGACAAAAACAGAAATTGCAAAACAAAAGTCATTCCGTACATAAAGGATTATAACAAAAATACACACTTTACCAACACACATTAAACACAGAGACAGGGTTGTAATTGTGTTGCCAAGTATCAGTACAACAAAAAGCAACACAAACAGTTGCCATGGAAACTGGTGCTGGTGCTGACTTTGTGTAGGAGGTTGTGGACCAGTAATAGTTGGTTGTGGGGGTGGAGTGCAGTGCTTCTTCAATGTGTTAGTTTCATCACAGAAATTATTTTATATGTAAATGATTAATTTCTTATTTTCAGGAAAGACAATGTAACATAATTGCACACATACTAAAATTTGAATTATTGATTTAACTATGATTTCAAGAAAAGGCCATTGAAGATATTTTTAATCACTGCAAAGTGAGATCAATTTGTTATACCATTTTCTGTACAGAACTTCTCAGTCTCACCTGTAAATTATGTTGTCAGACAGAACACTAAATATTGCTTTGGACAGAGGTGCATGCACAGCAAATACAGGCGGAGGAAACACTGGGGGGGACACAGAGATGGACATGGGTGGATGTAGGTGGACTGAAAGGTTGATGGACAGATGGAAGAACAGATAGATGGATTGATAGACAGGGTAGACAAAGGAATCGATATTTGAATGGAGTTAAAGTTTGAAAATATGTATGGATGGACAAGGGCTGTATTGTAGGATGGAGGAAGAATGAATAGCTGATATTGAGACAACAGATTGACAAGAGCTGTATTGTAGGATGGAGGAAGAATGAATAGTTGATACTGAGACAACAGATTGACAAGGGCTATATTATAGGATGGAGGAAGAGTGAATAGCTGATATTGAGACAACAGATTGACAAGGGATGTATTGTAGGATGGAGGAAGAATGAATAGATGATACTGAGACAATAGATTGACAAGGGCTGTATTGTAGGATGGAGGAAGAATGAATAGCTGATACTGAGACAACAGATTGACAAGGGCTGTATTGTAGGATGGAGGAAGAATGAATAGCTGATACTGAGACAACAGATTGACAAGGGCTGTATTGTAGGATGGAGGAAGAATGAATAGCTGATATTGAGACAACAGATTGATTGTAGAGATGAGAGGAAGAATGAATAGCTGATATTGAGACAAGAGATTGACAAGGGCTGTATTGTAGGATGGAGGAAGAATGAATAGCTGATACTGAGACAACAGATTGACAAGGGCTGTATTGTAGGATGGAGGAAGAATGAATAGCTGATACTGAGACAACAGATTGACAAGGGCTGTATTGTAAGGAGGAAGATTGAGAGTTGAACACAAGGACAGACAGTTTGGACAGGTAAACTGACCAATGAACATACAGTTAGACAGACAGTTTGATCAATGGACAGACAAATAGATAGTTATAGTGTGATGGACGGACAGGTGGACAGACAGTTTGACCAAAGGATGGACAGGTAGACAGTTGAAGACTTTTTTTACAGACAGGTGGATAGACAATTTGACCGAAGGACAGACACGTGGGACTGTGACAGACAGGGACTGTGACAGACACGTGGGACTGTGACAGACAGGTGTACAGAGACGTGGCCGCATACCTTTACCCTCCTGTTTGGGTCTAGACTCATTAACTGCTGGGGCCTCTGTGAGAGAGAGTATATAGCATCCAGTGGGAGAAGCAACGTTCCCCTGCAGTGCCCCAGTAAGCAGGCAGGGAGAGGGGCACGTCACAAAGTTTCAATGGAATTAACTAGCCAACAGAAATAGAACAGCTTCCAAAATTGTTTGACACTGCATCAAAACATTTTGAAACATTCATCTGTATATATACCGATACTTTAAGAAACCCAAAGCAACCTTTTACAATGTTTTATGCTTCATTAAACCATCTGCAGTAAAAATGATTATCATGATGTACTGGAACCGAAGTCCAATTTCTAGGAATATGACATTTCTTATATTCCTGGTTACTATGAACATGTGATTCCATTTCTATTGGCCATGGCAACACCCTGGAAGCTTTGTGTGACCTGCCCCTCCCAGTTGTCATGCATACATTCTTGAGTAGTCAGTTCAACTATTATAATCACGTGTTACCATATAACATTTATAGGTTATTATCAATACAGTTTGACAAAATGGTGATCTTTTCAATATAATCATAACAGTGAAACCCTGTTAGTAGAGGACCCTTCTGGAAACTTAATGTCAGGAATATATACACAGGTACATTATTCCACAGTCATGGTTAGCACAGAAAATGGTAATCAGGGTTTGACTGTACAATGGTCACAAACGTGTTTGAATTCGCGATGAAATTCTTTATTAATAAGCTCAATTTGTCGATAAAAGCTACTGAAAGGATCACACTGTTAATATTTAACACTGAACACAAGGAAAATCCCAGATTGGACATTAGTTCAATTCTTAAGGTATTTTTCAAATATTTCAAATTTTCATACATGATCAAAGTAACAAATTAAAGCATAAAGCAAACTCATTAGATATAAGCAGTCTAATCTTTTTTTAATTAGTTGGAGCACAGCAGAACTGATGACCATAGTATAGTATTGTCATGCATATATACTGGCTACATATGCATATATACTGAATTCACATGCATATATACTGAATTCACATGCATATATACTGGCTTCTCATGCTTATATACTGGCTTCTCATGCACATACACTGGCTTCCCCTGCATATATCCTGGCTTCACATGCATATATACTTGTTTTGCACACATATATACTGGCTTCACATGCACATATATCGGCTTCATATGCATATAAATTGGGATCTAAACAGCTCAGCCCAGAACAAACCCCTTGTTTTACAGATTAACCAACTTTTTTAACAGCAGAAATATTCCCCAAATTGTCTTTTTCACTCTGCAATTACATGGCAGGCAATCTAACTCAATTTTGAAATTAGATTAAACATTTGCTTTCACTGTTAGAGACATCCCATCAACCGTGACCGCGTCAGCCGGGTCTGGACACATTGGTCGAGACACATTTTGTAAACAGGAGTCAAGACATGGCTTCCCAGATGACAAAATGTTTCTAGGTGATTGTTTCTACATGATTCCTTTAACGGCGAGAACAGCTGTACTGTTAACCTAGTCTGTCTCACAGTCCCTGAACCACATTATTTTCCCTACTGCCAAGCTCTCTCTGCAGTGCTAAAGCCCTAAATGAAGCAAGTCTAGATTTCCCCAGGTTCAGGGAATCTCTGCTCTCCCTAGGGCTCCTTTTCAATATAAATGGGCTTGTTTGTTACTATCAAAATTATATATATTCAGAGACTAAGCCTTAGTCTACTGTTAACCTACCACCATATCTTATCAGAAAATGTCCTAAATTGGGAAATACAAGGTATTTTAAATGTATAATTCAGCAAGAAATGTCCCATTATATAATTAAAATAATTGAGTTATTTCCGAGCTGCCAACAACAATCCTGGCCCACTGCTGACAAGATCTACATCGCCTGACCTCTTATTATGCTGTGGAATACAGGTCATGCATGCATCCCCCATCATGAACACTATGCACAGAAGCAATATACAAGTATATAACATGTGCAGCATGCAGTAAAACAGCAATGCAGCTTCATGCTTGTCAGATTGGCTACGTTAATCAACAGCTAATGTTCACTTTATTATACACCTCTATGGCAGATTTGACAAACACATGTTAGAAGGTTTGGAAATGTGATTTATCTGTCTTTTTTTGGTAACCTATTTTTTGTGATTGTTTTTCTTCAGCTGTCAAATGGCCGCAAGAAGTGTACCCTGGCCTTGTCACGATGTGTGGGATAATTGCCGTATCAAACCAACATTTCACTGTTATGTTCACAAGCATAGTGATATAACAGTCTGAATCACTTCAGAATGTTACACAATAGCAACATGTTGTCTTCAAGTCTGCCATGGTATAACTGGGTATATATCCTAGGTCTGGACAACACTGTGGACTTACTGTAGCAGGAACGGCCGTCCACGCCAAGCTGGAAGCCTGGGGTGCAGGTACAGGCGAAGGACCCCTTGGTGTTGACGCAAGCTTGGGAACACCCACCATTGCTGATCTCACACTCGTTGATATCTAAATATTACATGGATATCAGATGTTAAATATCAATAATACATGGATATCAGCTGGTTATATCTATATTACAAGGATATCAGATGTTAAATATCAATAATACATGGATATCAGTTGGTTATATCCATAATACATGGATATCAACTGTTGATATATGTAGAATAAATGGATATCAGCTGTTTATATCTGAATTATACATGGATACCAGCTGCTTTATGTAAATAATACACATATAACAGATCCTAATATCTAAACTGTTCATGGATATCAGATTTTGATAGCTTTATAATCCATGGATATCAGTTGCTTATCCTAATATCCCAAAATATGGAATCCAATTTTTTTTATACAAAACCTCTGCGCTGATACTTTAGAAATAGCAAAATCAATACAAGAATCCTTTTGGATTCTGAAATGGTAGATACATAACTGGACATCTGACTGGTCACATGACATGACACTCACCGATACAAGACCGAGAGTCTGAAGCGATCCTGAAGCCAGCGAAGCACTGACAAGTTGCTCTACCACTGGAGGAGACGCACTTGTGTTCACATCCGCCATTACGTCGGCGACAGGGGTTCTCTTCTGTAAACACATCAGATTGACAGGTTAGACCACCGGGAAGGCGATTTGTCAGACTTACAGGTTAGACCAATGGACTGATTTAAAGGTTAGACCAATGGACTGACTTACAGGTTAGATCACTACCTAGATCTTTGGTCAGACTTACAGATTAGACCAATGGACTGAATTTCAGGTTTGATCACTACCTAGATCTTTGGTCAGACTTACAGGTTAGATCACTGGTTAGATCTTTGGTCAGACTTACAGGTTAGATCACTGGTTAGATCTTTGGTCAGACTTACAGGTTAGATCACTGGTTAGATCTTTGGTCAGACTTACAGGTTAGATCACTGGTTAGATCTTTGGTCAGACTTACAGGTTAGATCACTGGTTAGATCTTTGGTCAGACTTACAGGTTAGATCACTGGTTAGATCTTTGGTCAGACTTACAGGTTAGATCACTGGTTAGATCTTTGGTCAGACTTACAGGTTAGATCACTGGTTAGATCTTTGGTCAGACTTACAGGTTAGATCACTGGTTAGATCTTTGGTCAGACTTACAGGTTAGATCACTGGTTAGATCTTTGGTCAGACTTACAGGTTAGATCACTGGTTAGATCTTTGGTCAGACTTACAGGTTAGATCACTGGTTAGATCTTTGGTCAGACTTACAGGTTAGATCACTGGTTAGATCTTTGGTCAGACTTACAGGTTAAACTTTTTGGTCAGAGGACATAAAATACATTTCTTGCGTATCACCCATCACTCATCAATCTGATATATCAACCTGGCCCAGATAATTATTACCAATGCTAAATCTGGATCTGTTTCCGGTTCTGGACACTTGTTATTTCCTGTTTTTGATGAAACCTGCCATGATGTCCAGCAATACCATATCTGATAGGTATTGGAGAGGTGTTTGAGAATCATCTTGGTGCAAACAGGAATCAAGGTTGGAGTGGTTGGAAATTTAGATAAGAAATAACATTATAATTCAACCTACTTACCAGTTTGTTTTATTTTCATAAGAAATACATTAGGATGTTTATTTCATTAGGGAGTAATTCTTATATTGAATGTATATTGGAGATCAAATTAAATTGTCTTTTCATTCTTCATGTTTAACTTTGTCTACAGCAACATTTTGCTATAGTCTGTTTGCAGTGAAAATGTACCAATGAATTTCACTTTAAACAAAAAAGTAAATCACATAAAGTGAAATTAAGATTGCGAATCCTCATGATTTTACATTGCCAATGGAACTTTTATATCTCAGAATTTTATTCAACTTATGATAAAAGTTGTTTAACAAACAATCATAGTTTCAAATCGCTGTTATTGGTTTGTATTACAAGGGGCTACGTGCAGTAGTTGGAATAGTGAAACAAATGCACGTGCGGTCCGTGATGAGCGTTAACTTAAGACTACCGTAGAAACTAACCCTTCTTGTTCTCGGGGTTTCATTTAATGAGCATACCCCCTGTAATACAAACCAATAATGGCGATTTGAAACTATGATCATTTGTTAAACAACTTTTATCCTAGGTTGAATAAATTTCTGAGATTTAAATGTTCAATTGGCAATGTAAAATCATGAGGATTCGCAATCTTAATTTCACTTTATGTGATTTACTTTTTTGTTCAAAGTGAAATTCATCCAAACATTTTTCTTTTTAACTAAATGATTTTTTTAAGTGTTTTAATGTCAGAAACATTGTACGACTGAACAAAGAGGAGAAAGTTTGATAGCAGTAGAGCAATTATCAAAGGAACTACACAGTGCCACTTAGCTCACTAAGCTGTTTGACCCTAGTCAACCAGCCATCGTGGAATGTTTGACTGAGGTCATGCAGCACACACTTGTCCACTAGATGGTCTGATCAACATCTATCAAGCACGTCATGATTGCCAGGAACACATACAAATCTTAGTTTCACACAAAACGCTAGACCAACACCAAGCTTCAGATCAGGAAACTAATTAAAACTGCAGTGAAAAGGAATCAGGATATGTTTCTATAGGTTCATACTTTACTTAAAGAGGTCACTGTTTACAGTCAGTGAGGGTCACCAGAGAATAAACTGACGATGGACAGAGCTAAAACAGAGTTACAGTTTACTGGGCAGAACTAAAACAGAGTTACAGATTATTGGGCAGAACTAAAACAGAGTTACAGTTTATTGGGCAGAACTAAAACAGAGTTATAGATTATTGGGCAGAACTAAAACAGAGTTACAGTTTATTGGACAGAACTAAAACAGAGTTACAGTTTATTGGGCAGAACTAAAACAGAGCTACAGTTTATTGGGCAGAACTAAAACAGAGGTACAGTTTATTGGGCAGAACTAAAACGGAGGGACAGTTTATTGGGCAGAACTAAAACAGAGGTACAATTTACAGATACATTGGGTAGAACTAAACCAGATATACAAATTACAGCAAGAACTACAAAAGAACACTAAAACAGTTTCAGTAGGAAGAGCTAAACACATATAGCACCACAGGGGAGAGCTACAACCACAGGGAGAGCTACAACTGAGAGCTACATGTTGCTTGTTTGATGTTTAATGACTTACTCAGCAATGCAGTATCCCAGTTACATGAAGACATTCTATAAATAATAGCGTATGTGCATGACTATCCAGTGATTGACATCATAAGCATCTAACTTCGAAATGGGGATACACATTAGACCAGTAACCTTGATCCCTCCCCCACCGATCTCCTTATCAGCTCTTACTACAAGCATACGTCACTACAGGGGGCTACAACTGATAGCTACAATGGGTACAGCTGCAACAGAGAGCTACAATCATTAGCTAAAACAGTTGAAGCTACAAAAGAGGGCTTTAACTTATAGCTACAATAATGAGAGCTAAAACTGAAGGCTACATGTGATAGCTACGGTGGGGAAAGCTACAATAGACCTATAACTAACAGCTACAGTCTGGAGAGATAAAACAGAGAGCTAAAGCTGAAGGCTACATATGATAGCTACAGTGGGGAAAGCTACAATAGACCTATAACTAACAGCTACAGTCTGGAGAGATAAAACAGAGAGCTAAAGCTGAAGGCTACATATGATAGCTACAGTGGGGAAAGCTACGATAGACCTATAATTGACAGCCACAATGGGGAGAAATAAAAAGGAGAGCTAAACTGAAGGCTACGACTGAGAGCTACAGCGGGGAAAGCTACAACAGACCTACCTAATTGATAGCTACAATGGGACAGATAAAACATTGATATAACTGACAGTTATGATTGACAGGTATACAGTTGTACATGAAACACTGGCCCATGATCCAGCCATTCTACCTTCGCATGTTCTCATATCACGGCCAAGTCGGTAACCCTCACGACATCGGCAGTGGAAGTGCCCGTTGTAGCCGTCAACGCAGATGTGTTGGCAGCCTCCATTATTCTGTCCACAGCCCGACACAGCTACAATAAATCAGACAGTTGATAAGTTCACTTAAACTTCCTTGCCAATCCACCTCTTTCACAAATACAGAAAACTCCAATAATCCTACATGTAAGATGGGAAATGCTGCAATGATTAAATTAATGAAGAAAGAAATCTTACTGCAATCTTTGATATGAAATGAGGAAATATTTCTATTTGAGATTGACTAATTAAGTAGTTTTCTTTAGAGCAATGAGCACAAGCGGGCTTGAAGTCAGTCATAAAAATTGCAATTACTACATTAAAGCATCAGCTTCAAAGTAACATGGCAGACGCAGAGTTAGCGGAACTGCTGAAAGGCAAAGCATTAATTAAACAATGTTAATACTTGCAATAATTTTGATTTAATATAAAAATATTTTCATTTTCAGAACATATATGTGAAAAAACCCCAGAGCTTCCAAAATTCGAGTTATGAAAAAAATAAGTGTCAGGGAATTTGTGCTAGCGTTTTAAAGTTTTCGGACAGAAAAATGTTTTAAAGAGCAGAACAAAATATTTGGGTGAAACTGAAAAAAGAAAATATATTTTTAGAGTATGTTGGCATTCTATCCAGTGGATGAGCGGCCCTGTTACCATGGTGACAAGTACACAAGAAGCAAAATGTCACAGACATAACTGTCAAAACATAAACTGTACGTTGACGGGTAAAATGTGCTCAAATAAACAGAGGTAGAAAACATCGGAGGGAAGATGGAGGAATGACACAAAGGAAAAGGGATAAAATAAATAACGCAGTACTTGAGTGCAACTAAAAACACAGATACACTGATCTCTAGCATCATTCTACAACACAGACGCTGGTACCTAGCTCCAGGTGTGTAACTGTGTCCAATGACACCTGTAGTACTAAGGTGATAGTACGTGGTATCTACTAAAATTGTGATTATTGAAAATGATAAAATGTGTCACTAAGGCCAGACATATTTGTCATACTTACGGATTCCGATAGTGAAAAATATTTATTTACAGGTAATAATTTTGTTTTTAAAAAATACATGTTATAGCATCTTTCGATCATCCTAAAAAATTGATTTTGATTGACTCAAAAAAGAAGATAGAATTCTCCTAAACATTTAGTTTATTGTAAATACCTTGGATTCGTTTTATTGTCAAAGAGACATTTGCAGTCAGATCTATTAAAAAAGACTTGTAATTCTGTTTTTTTCCTTTCCTATATTTTGAAGTTTGAAGGTCAGAAGATCCGAATTCAATAAAAAAATATGTAAGGCCTAATTATGATTATGAATATGGCAACCTGAAAACACAAAGTAGGTGAACTTGGTAAAATAATTGGGGAACAAGCATCAGTCACAGAGATGACATTCTGTATCTGTGACAATGGAAAGTATCAACAGGTAAAGAAATATTCAGGTAAAACACAATGGTAAAAGGTTCAGGTAAAATGAAATATTTCACTATAAGTGATAAACATCATAAATTCAAAGGTGAAAATTACCTGCAGAAAAGAATCATGTTCAAGGAAAACGAAACATTTCTACAAAACAAAAGAAAATGTGACTGAAGAAATTGATGTGTCAGAAAGTAAGACGTGAAAGATGGCACCTGACAACATGCATTATCCACATAAACAACCATTCTATTAAAGAAACTTGCATTATTTCAATAAATGAAATATCAGTTGTCTAGTATATTTGTGTTTCAATGTGTATTACAATGAATCTGTCAGTCGACTCATATGAGTTGCTTCCCTCAGCCCGGCCAGGATCCGTTAATCATAGGTTTGAATCCTTGGTTGTCAACTTCGTACCACAGTGTTTAAAGTGTTTCAACGGAGATTAATACAAGTCAGCTCCTTCGCTCAATGTGTAAATATATTCCATGGGACACTTTTGATGTGCTGAACTAAAGCATTATCTCAATACTGAACTAACTCGTCATCTTCTATACAGAGCAATCATGAACAATTCAAGACCAGTGCATGAAATACTGTTTCAACATATGGCATTGGCAAATTGTTTCATGCAAAAACTATTATAACTCAGTGAAAATCATTCCATGATGATGTAGTAATCGTGTCAGAACACTACAAGACAATCTCTTACTGTGATGTCAGAACACTACAAGACAATCTCCTATTGTGAAGCCCCAAGATTACAAGACAATCTCCTACTGTGATGTAAGAACGCTACAAGACAATCTCTTACTGTGATGTCAGAACACTACAAGACAGTCTCCTATTGTGAAGTCAGAACACTACAAGACAATCTCCTACTGTGATGTCAGAACACTACAAGACAATCTCTACTGTGATGTCAGAACACTACAAGACAATCTCCTACTGTGAAGTCACTACAAGTCTCCTACAGATGTCAGAACACTACAAGACAATCTCCTACTGTACAAGACAATCTCCTACTGTCCGAACACTACAAAACAATCTCCTACTGTGATGTCAGAACACTACAAGACAATTGTGAAGTCTACAAGACAATCTCCTACAGTGTGAAGTCAGAACACTACAACAAAATCTCGTACAGTGACGTCATGTCAGAACACTACAAGACAATCTCCTACTGTGATGTGAGAACACTACAAGACAATTTCCTACTGTGATGTCAGAACACTACAAGACAATCTCCTACTGTGATGTAACAACACAAGACAATCTCCTACTGTGATGTCTGAACACTTCAAGACAATCTCCTACTGTTATGTCAGAACACTACAATAGATTGTCTCTATGTTGATAGATTTTTAATACCTAATTTATCTCAGTGAAAAAGCTGCAGACATTCAAATTTATCTACAGGGCTACTGTATGAAACTATCCAAACAGACAATGGCATTGCCAACATGAGTTTTAGTACATCTATTGAACAACTAAATGTTGAAAGAGACTGGGTTAGAATGGCATTAATCACTGAGTCTGATGTAGAAACAGCGGAGATGATGACAGAGATTCACTTCTAGGTTTCCACGGGCACAGGATATTATCAATATTACATCTAGCCATGTCATTAGTTTGTCAACATCGTGTAGGGGAAACCTGATAATTTGGAACATGGTCTTTACAACAATATTTTTTCCCATGTCACAACAGATTTTGAGTTATCATACAAAGATTTAGGTCTGCGAAAATTAGTTACCAAATGTTCTTTGTGTAGGGTTGTTTGAATGTGTCAGTAGTAGAGTGTGCAAAAATTGTTCTACCTGAAAAGTCTTGTAAACCTGACCCTGACCCAATGAATAAACCTGACCTTGACCATGACCCTGACCCAAACCATTAACTGACCTTGACCCTGACATTAAACATAACCCAACGCTGTCCTCAACCTCACCTGAGTATCATTGTACAAAGCGACCTTAGCCCTAAGGTGATTATACTTCCCATACGTTAATACAGACTTATGACAGTAGTAAACCTGACCCTGACCCAAACCGTAAACCCTGACCTTAACTGTGACCCTGACCCAAACCATAAACCCTGACCTAAACTCTGACCTTAACTGTGACCCTGACCCAAACCATAAACCCTGACCTAAACTCTGACCTTAACCATGACCCTGACCCAAACCATAAACCCTGACCTAAACTCTGACCTTGACCCTGACACTAAACATAACGCAACTCTGTCCTCAACCTCACCGGAGTACCATTGAACAAAGTGACCTCAGCCCTCAGGTGATTATACATCCCATACATTAACACAGACTTATGACAGTTGTAAGGCTAAGGTTGTTTAGTACAACAGGGCCCTGGACCCTAAAACTGTCCATTACCCAGACTCTGACCCTAAAGGACCCAGTTACAAATAAAATCTTACCCTAGCCCTGACCTTGACCTTACCCTGACCTAATATGGCCAACAGGAAATAGTTGCATATCCTGCAAATCCTGCACACCCTGCCAATGACACATGTGAATGAACTGGGTATATAACTGCTTTAATTTCTTCTTATTTTATATACCTTCCATCATTTCTATACAAAAAATATTAGATAATCTGTACAAAACAGTACTTCAGGCAATTTTATGTGTTATTTTTAAAGTGGCAACACTCCATTATATCATTGTGTTTGAACATGAAATGTAAAAAATGTTACAACTACACATATCTGTGACAAAGAAAAAACAGTCTGTATTTATTACTTGCATTTTGAGCACTGACAAAATCTTTGGTCTATTTTGAGACAATTTAAACATGTAAGAATAGAAGCATAAAGCAAGCACTGGGTGTAAACAAATAAACTTGGAACTGAGTCACACTGAATTCAATCTTTGTAACATGAAAGATAAACAAAGATGAATTGACATGTACAATGACAAGGACAAAAAGACACATTCATATACTCAAAAAAGAACATTGGTCTTTGTAATATAATTTAAAACATAAGATTTCTTTGTGAAAACAAAAGTTTTCAACAAAACATATATCTAAATGAAATGTAGGACAGATCAGAAACATCAAAATACAGTTTAAACAATGATAAAGACACACAGACTAACAGACACTTTAGGACATGAACAGACACACACAAAGACATCTGGGAAGACAGCCCAGCAATGTACATGGGGCCACTGAATCTGTTTAGGTCAAAACTGTCACTTTCCAAAATTCAAAGTATCTTTCAAATATCAATGTTACCTACATCATTTAATTAAGATTAAATGAATGATTAGAAATCTTCCATGCTGTTAATCAATAATGAAAATGTCAACAGAAATGTTATTCACAACACACTAATATATAAAAATAACAACAGTTTCACATTGTAAGTTACACATTATAAGTTGTTAGGAATGCATGATCTGTTGTCCTGTACATGCATGACATGGCTACTGCCATGTGACATGGAGATACAGTGAAGGTGATAACTGGATGCAAGCTATTGCCTACCTGGCGCCATCGTCAAGTATCCAACATATATTCAATAAGCATATGCTGCCTTTACATACATTTTATGAATTCAAAATGATATTTTCATGACAACTGGTTTGGAATTTTAACAGTTCTATTTGCCCTCGGGCTATGTGAATGAAATTTCATAATCTTGACTGTAGGAAACGGTAATGTGACACTTTAGGTACAAGTGGAAATCACGATAAATAAGTCCTCAAGTAATGTGATGTTCCTTAAGTCAACTATACGATACTAAAAATCTGTCTTAAAACAATGTAAAAACCAAAACCATAAAAATTTGAATGGTGAATTCTACAGACAACATTTCAATAAGTAGTCCCTGCCATCTGCAAATTACAAGAGTGCACCTTGTCTTTATTCATTCACAGGTGGGGAAATAATACAACATTTGGTCACTGCGACATGGTGCTAGGGAAGTATCACATGTTTGTTTGACTATATTCAAATACATAACGGACAACATGGACAATTTGACAGAACCAATATGACTTCAGATCACGAAAGATGTTTGAGTGAGAGATTTCTACAAAGTATACTAAACCATCTACAGACATAGGTATCTATTGCGAATCCCCCTACAGAGATCTGGATAAACAGACGAGTGGTCTGCATCAAGTAATAGATTGACATGTTGAAGAGCGAGACATGGGGATAAATCAAATGAGAAGAGCCAGTTCAAACGTAATCTTGTGAGTAAACACTGACAATGATGAAATATTTGAAAATCATTTATAATTGTTATTCTGAAAATAATTATCGACGTTACAAATTAGATTGTGCATGATTCCTTGATGAGAACGTAATGGCTGTGCACACACATACAACTATTTAATTGACAGGCTCAATCAATGTCGACTGATGAAACAGATGGTGCATAAAATATATTAAATCAGTGCAAATAACAACTAGTCGTTAATGCTGATGACTGAAATGGGTGATTATAATGAAAATACGGCATATAAATATATGCTGTTCAGTTGTAAAACATAAATGATTTTCAAATACTCCAATATATGTATATGAATTTCCTCAATAATATATCAGAATGTTAATCAAATGTGATTGTAACAAAAATGAAGTTTGTGACATCCTTACAAACCTAACTCAAATAACAATTTTCAAAAATGGCACACAAAACGGAATTCAAATGGTTCAAGTAAGGAACACATCACCCTTCATGCAAAAATATGTTTGAAGAAGTGTGTACAACAAGGTTGCTCCTGAGACCAGCTTCATTTACAAAAATGATTTCCTCAAAACAGATTTTCAAATGCATGATGTGTAATATAGGATGGCAAAAAATGGTTTTGTGCAAAGAAGTACTTAAAGAGAGCTGTGCAACAAGTTGAGTCTCAAGCCTTCATTTTTGTGGTCAAGCACAGATAACATCGAGCATTGTGGAAATATGGGATGTGCAGCCTGGAATCTGTATTTACCGGTCCCAGTGACTTTCATATCAAGCATAGCAATGTATGACTTGTCTCCTTGTTTGGAATATAGTGCTGGAAAGAGAAGATGGAATCCACTTGCTCATTTTACCTGAGTTACTTTAAACCCAACAGGTGTAATACGTGATAGCATTGTTAAAGTGATTCTCACACAATCTATCTAATAACAATTGATGATGAAACTAGATGTTAATTCTAGAGTGAATAACAGTATTATCCTCCAGCAAATGCTGTTAAAAGAAGTAAAGAAATATTGGCCAACATATCCAGATCAAGAAATAAAAGTTGTATCTACAAACATGCATCGAACAATCTTGAAGAGTCCTAATAACAGAAATGCTGTTATGCAAGACCTATTGAAACACAAACTATGGTCATATCAGTTCTTCTGGGAGATATATTTGTTTTCATAAAATTGAGTTTCCAATAATATTGATAATATTTCAGGCAACATGATACAATAGTAGTTTGGTGATAATTATATGTATGTTTTCAATATTGATTCAATCTTATGCTCAAGAGATGTTTGAACTTATAACATCTGGTCTGTTATTATCAATGCCTTCATGTTGGACATATGGTTGGTGAACAAGTTTAGACAAAATGTACACAGAATATTGGTGTCAGTGTGTCGCTGCTGAATTAAGTAAACATTGTGGAACTGCAGTGAAATGTATGGTATCTGTATTGTATGTATAAATAAACAAAAGCAATATTAACAAGATTAACATTTAAGGAGACAAAACACGATCTGAACTGATATATACTCTACATGCAAGCATTGTTTACAATCTGTGCTTACTTTCCCACAGACAGATACACAAGTTGAATGCATGCCTGCATGTTGCTCTGAGCTATTATTTTCACAGCTGTCTGGAGGCGATATGTAAGTGTATCAGTTTGCTGACTTGACATATTTTCAAAATGAGAATTGGTGAATCGAAATAAATTCTGAGTTCATTCGAAATATTTGCTGATTGTTGTTTATTTATATTCTTTCATTTTCTGAAACAACATAACTTCACAGCTTTCAGATCAATGAGAAAACATAAAATGAAGACGAGAAATATTTTGAAGTCTAAATGATCAGGTGCTTGGCTACCATTTATGCAATACTCTGCTGATTATGATGAATGTGTGAAGCTATTCTGGCTTTTAATTGTAATTGGCTGTTTATTCATCCTCAGCAAGCTGGAATAATGCTTCTTTGAAATATTCTTTATGTGACATTTAAGAAATTAATTGCTTGATGTAACACATGTGTTTCAAATATTGGGCATATTGAGAGTTTTTGGTTGGCACTCGAGTTATGTGACCATTGCTCTGATCAACACACTGTCGGGAGCTGAAAACACATTAACTGACTTGAGTTTAAAGATTAAATCTAAATTTTTAAAACCAGCCAGTTTCTAAATCTTTTTAACAAATTTACTACCTGAAACTTTTAAGTCCCCGAAGAAGGGGACATACTCTACACCCTCAGCAATCTGGGGGGAGGCCAAGCTTCAGCATTGACGCTACAGAATGGATGGTTAAACGTGGTTGGTTTGTTCTCAGGTGAGACCTGGCCAACCTAGGAGGTCATCGAACCCAGACCAAAACCATTGGTTTGTGTGCACCAAGTTATATGTAGCATACCAATGTCAGGTCACTTACACTGTTGTCAAAAGGCCAACTGTTACTGCAATTGTTGACAACAGGCCAAGGTGACCTTGCTGTCTCTCTGACTTGGACTCACTCTTTCACTCTCTCACTCACTCACTCTACATGATTAAATCCATGTACCCTTCTGTTCCAGCTTAGGTTTCACTTGTTTTGGTGGAGGTTTCTTGGAGACCCGATTGTCTGTAGTCACCGGCTTGGACACTCTCTGTTTGTGAGGAATATTGTAGAGCTCACGGTGACGAGAACTGCTGCTAAATATAGGTTTGTTGTCATACCGAGGTCTCCCGCTGAGTGTCTGATACCGACCCTCGTTTTCCCCGTGAATTGTCCTATAATTCCCCTGTCTTTGACGATGATCTTGGTAACCATAGTAACTCCCGTAGAACGGGTTTTGTCTGTTACGTACAGGATCAACTTGTAGGTCCGCTGAAATGTGGCCGCCATTTGCAATTTATCAGTAAATATGAATTATTGTATTGCGATACAAACACTGAACAACTTATTGTTACGATGTACAAGCTCAACAATGAAAGTTCACTTCAACATAGATGATTTCATTAACAATAACATGAACCTCATGACAAGAGAAACAACTTAATGGAGCTTTCATGATGACGATGAATTATTACCATAAACCTGTTAAAACATTTCTGAAGGTGAGCTACGATAATTAAGACAAAGATACAAAAGCAGTAATTTATGTTTATCAGGATGATTAGGTATTTATTTCACATGCTTGCCACTTCATGAATTTATTGAACTAACATTTGTGACTGACAACACTGCCGTCACTAAGTGAGTGAGGGGGATGAGTTAGCTGTGCATTGGGGGAGTTCTGGGTGAAGGTGGTCAGTGATGGGGGTCAGAGAGAGGGGGACAGCAAAGGAGACTTCTGGATCCAGGGGGTGCATCTTGTCTGCACTCCCCATTTTTAAGACACCTCACAGTTCAGCCTGTGTTACTCATGCTCTCTTGTGTCTCTCTGAGACTTGGGTAACATGCATCGAAGTATTTGACCAGAAACCTGTAGTACCAATTGTGTCTCATGTGATGTTGATAATGATTTGACATGGCCAATGATTTTGCTTGTTTTGAAACAGGTTTTCTATTTGATATTAATGCTTGTGATGAACATTGGTTGATGAAATACGAATTTGGATGCATCGCAGAACGACATTGGTGCTTCAGGGATTTGGGTCTGCTGATGTAATGGGTCAGACAGCCATGATGACATCATTGGCAGGTATGTGATTATCAGGGGAGGCAACTCCTGCCTTGTCCACCACTGACTGACAAATCTCATGTCTATGATGGGCATGACTCACATACATGAGCCACTGCCAGGTACATCAGAGTACCATTCATCATAAGTCCAGAGAAGCAGGTGCTATGACGACAGATGTCTTGTGTTCTTGAAAACCAGACATCAAATATCTATTGCAAAGTAACAAATCAAACTAAAACAGAAAGCTATTCCACTAAGAATGACTACCCTGGCAGTCGCAGTATTGATGCTACCATGACAAGCTAGACCTCGATATTAATGGACTAAAAAAAAGAGATAATGGTGACTAATTTGAATTGTTCCAGAAATAGTCAACAGGGTGATCAGACAGGGATTAAAGTGTGGCAGTTTAAAAGACTGTGAAAAATTGTTCTCTGCAAATAAAAACTGAACAATTCTAACAACATTCAAACGGAGTGTGTCTTACCCAGGGGTTTCCTGGTGATTTTCTCACCTGTAGGAGGAGAACCAAGCTGAATGAAGTGATACTACATGTGGAGAGCATATGTTCCTCTACAGAGGGGATACCAGCATATATCTCCCAGCTGGGATGATACGGGTTATACAACAACATCAGTAGATACGGAGCATGTCAGTAGTTGGCAATACATTAAAACCTTTAATCCAGAATCAGCAGCTCATGCAACCTTCATTTAGTACCTACTCTAACTACTAATAAAACTCTAAAGATGATGAGGGCTAAAATATTGGTTACAAATCAATATCTGGCGCTAGTGAGTGTTGTTTTGCAGCTGCATGAAATCATTCTGTGTATCATCACAAAGGCAAAGCAGTGTTTGAAAGCTAAAACATCGATCAAGAAATATTAGTACAGCATGATGACACAAGATGTCTGATTGCACAATGTGACCACCTTATCCTATTCCAATTGTGAAAACTCAGAGAGCCCGTACATCCTTTATTCCAAGTACCATATCTCTCTTAAACAAATGTGAAGATACCTAAATCAAAGAATTTATGGAAATATGTTTGGTATCTCTCTAATGTGTCAGTAGCTCTGCTGATGTAACACAAATTCCTGAAAAGGCATTAAAGTATTATTCTATTCTATTCTATCTTGTTGTCTCTTGTGACAAGTCTGGGGTACTGGGGATCTTTTCTTGCCTCGAATCCTTATAGGGATACAAACACGAGGAATTGGGTATATATCCTTCCTTGGAATCCCAACAGAGGCTCCAACTAGGGGTACTTAACAGTGAGTGATTGGGCAGCCTCTGAGGAAGTGGTGTGGGACTGGAGAAACTGGATGTTTTCCAAGGACTTCATCAATCCCAGACAAGATAAAGTTGGACAATATATTTGTCACATCCACAACAGTGTTATACTCAAATAACTCACTCACTCACTTTGTAAAGATAACTTGCAACACATAAACCAAACTCACATACTCTCAAAATCCAATGTAAGACTGTTACAGAGGTAATACTTTGCTGCAAAGCTGTGCATTGTAATGCAACATGTTGACTAAAGTTTGATAATGATGGTAACACACCGTAGAATTTGCTTGGAAAGAAATTACCTCCCCTGACAGAAAGTGAACATCGAGCCCCTCCTTTAAGTGTCAACCACCTTTCAAAGTGAAGTAGATCAATGGCAGTTAAAGGTACCTTTCACAATCAGGTAATCCATCAATAAGGATCGATCAGCACAATTAATCCTTTCATAAACCCCCCGAGAAAAAAGCACAATGAAGCGCCGTTTGGTACAGTATTGATCTTCCAATATTATGTGCGCTAATCCTGTCATCAATAAAACCAATAAGCCAGTGGGACTGATCAGTCAAAAAGACGATAAATCTCCGATAAAACCACCAACGTAAAAAGCTAATGTGTAACTGTTGCTGGCCGGAGAATCAATGGTGTACAAGCAAACCGAGATCATAACATCGAAATCAGATCAATCATAGAGTAATGTAATACAATTTCATTGTCCAACGATCAAATAATCACCAATAGTGATTTCCATCAATGTCAGCTAAACGCAGAGCTGTTCAACTGAAGCCCAACCCAACAACCACTTGTCATTATTTGCATAGAAACTTTAGCTAACCGTTAGCTACACGGACAACAAAATGCGTTTGTGCTTTATTAGTGGAAGTCCGTGTGGGAAAGCGCCGTCCATGTGTTGATGCCTTGTATCACATAATACACCCAGTGCAGGAGGGGGGGGCAATTATTGCATATTATACCATCATTATTATTAAGTGGAGGAAATAACTTGTCATAATTCCTGGAAACATACGCTTAATGGCGGCACCGAATGTGCCCATGTCTGGGAGAGTTATCAGCATATTGATCAGATTCGGGCAAATTCCAGTGGGTGCCTCATTCCACAAACTGCCGATTCTGATCTGCAAATTTATGAATACCGACACGTTAAAGATGTCAGAACATTTTCCACTGCTTGAAATGACTGTGAATGACTTCCATAGATTAGGTAAAGAGCTATTCAAATTTTGTGTAAATCAGGCGAGAGTCTTTCATCATCTGGACATAATCAAAGAGGCAGAATCCTTTTAGTCATGGCATCATCGTAGAACATTGTCAGAACGCTGTCATAGAAATAGTGCATTTAATTGTCAGGACATTGTCAGGACATCGTATGGAGACATGAATTCTGCAGCTTCTACCTCAGATAAATCTTTGATATTTAAAAATAAATATATAAATATTTGATGCTGTTACATACTTTTCTACATGTTCCCTTATTTGGAAAGAACTTTCATTACATACATGCATAGGTAACTGAAATAACACAACAAGAAGCTTAAACTACTACAGATTTAGCAGAACACACTTAAATGTTTTTCATAAACTTCAAATATGAAATTACTCTCCTCTGGCAAGATCAGAGAATACATGCAACACCAATATGATCCATCATTGTTTCCTGTCGGCAATATTTCTGAACATCCCAGGAGAAATGCCATATATTAATTAACTTTTCAAAGAATGTCAACTCTCCAACACACTGGCGGCAGTAGCTTCTAACAAGTGCAGGAGTAGTTTACAGTTTCTTCAAAACACAGACATTTGGAGTTGTGGCTTCATGACCAAGCATGAATTTGCAAGTGCACAATGATATTTTCTAATGCAGTGACGCAACATAGTAATTCTAAAAATGTTTTAATGTTTGTTTTCAAATTGAAAAACTGTTAAATTAATTAAAATACTGCCCTAGTGTATTTTGAAAACAAACAATCAACACTCTCAAATCTGAGCTGTCATCTTCTGATAATATGATTACGACGCTACTTCAGGCCACTGTAATATATCGGACTACAACAGGCTTTGGTGAGATCCTCAATACTTTCACAATATTGAGTAAGCTGTAAACATTGAAAAGTGGTCTAACAGTTTTAGAAAATTGCTTGGCACCTATCTTGTCAAAAAGATAACACAACAAAAATTATATTAGATTTTCATCCCCAAAGCTTCAATACAAAATGCCCCACCTTACATAACAGCCGAAGAAAGTACTGGAACTAGATTTTGTACTGAGAAAGTGTTATCCCAAATATAACAAATGTTACGTTTGAAGACTTCGCCACCTTAACTATATTGTCTTTACAGTTTTACTGAACAATAATTTTTCAGTTTGCTCATTGTTTTGAGCATTTATAGTTAAAGAACGAACAAAAAGCAAACCGTCTACCAAGAAGTAGAAACATGTTGATTACCCTTGATGTGTCTGTGTACTAATGTTTACAGATGACGTGTACTATATTTTGAGTCCTTCCGACAGCCTTCACATCCGAAGTCCAACTTTCAGGAACACGAGTCCTATAGACTATATTTCTTTAAAAAAATATTCAAATTGGAGACATTTCAAGTCAATAGATTCCTAACCCAGCTATTACCTTCATTGTAACTATGATATATGTCTTCTGACAGGTAGTACATTGAATTAAGGCTCAATTGTAGGAGTTTTATAGCACTGTTTTTTTCCCAGAGAATGTATTGTTATTAGAGAAGCATTATGTGATAGGAAGAAGTGTGGCTCCGGAACTAGAGCAGCATACATAGAGAGAGAGACAACCTTCTGATAATATACCGTTCACCCAGTGCAGGATATACAACACACTGTGAAGAGTAGTGTCCCTTGGTCAAGCTAGGATCCACTGATTGTGGGTTTGAAGTAAGCGTATGAGGAAACAAAGTTTCTGAGATCACTTTCTTTCATGAACTTTATGAGCATCCTGAGAAGACCTGGCCAATCAGAGAATAACCAACATGTTTAACAAGCAAGGATTAAGGAATTTTTTTTATCATCCAAAACTGTATTTCACAGTAGATATCGCTTGTGTGAGATCAGACGATATCACCTAGGAGATATCGTTTTGACAGTAGATTTTGTACAATGCCCTGACAATGCTATGACGTCATGAACTTGTTGACGTCACAATGTTATGACATCGCTGCACTGCAAATCTAATGGCAGTACTGTGTTCAGAGATGTACATTTTTCATTGAAAACTAATGAAGAGTGATTTTTGATGATAAATAGAATCTCACCCACGTGTCTTCTGATATCAAATATATCAACACTCGTTGATAAAAGTAAAAATCATAAAAAGTATTTGTTACTTTATCAACTCGTGGTGATATATTTGACATCAAAAGACACTCGGGTGAGATTCTCTATCTGTCCTGAGAGAAAGAATGGCGTTTATCTATAATTTCATGTTGTCTATTCTCTATATTACTCATTGAAATTCTAAGATAGAAAGTAGGGATGAAAACTTATGTACACCCTTCAGAAACCCATACTAATCGCAGTCTCCTGTTCAGATGACATGGATGACTTATAACATTTTTCTCAAAGTGAAGCACTGTGAGTGACTTCATATTACAAAGTTACATCACATCACAATCATATGTTGGTAATATCAAATTATTTGGAATGGAAAGTAGTCAAATTCTAGAAAGTTTTGAAAATAACCTTGCACAACAATTGTGCATTACTGTGTGTTGTAATAATATTAACCTTTAATCTCCCTTCAGATCCACCTATGTCTGTGTCTGCTACAATATGTTTGACGTTTAAACAGGAGACTTTGTAAATAAATGTGATTTGTATAATAATAATCAGAAGAGATGCCTAAGTATAACCTGGAGCTCAACCTGGGGAACTTGCTCCAGCAGAGTTGATGCTGTCTACATCTTTGTTCACAACACTAACCTCAGTTCATTAAAATCAAATGATCTGAAATGACATCAAGATGGGGAAGGAGCTGCCAATTGATTTGATTCTGTTACACTTTTTACACACTGATTACTGTTTTTCACAACACAAAGCTCAGTTAATTAAATTTGGTTCAGGAACCAAATTGTAAAACCATATTGAAAGATTTTCACTTCATCCTTGTCTAAAGAAAAAACTAGTCATGAAAATATTTACCATGATGTTGTTTTGATCTCACTGTCAGTCTAT